CAGGAGTATAGATCCCGCATACTATAAAACTGCAACATTATGTAACCCAACACCAGTTACCATGGTGAGAGACGTCAACAAATCAGGTCATTGGCCAGGTCAGAGGTCAGTGTTTGGAACGGAAGAAGAAGAGGAAACGTGGCAAAAACAATGTTTTCCTTCAGTAAACATAATTAAGTAGAGTGCTCGCTTTGTAACCGGGAGGTCGAGAGTCCAAACCCCGGCCGGGTCATACCAAAGACTTTAAAAATGGTACATACTGCTTTCTCTGCTTAGAACTCAGCATCTATGAGTATAAGAGTATGGGATGGTGAAACACACAACACTACCAGCGGACTAGCCCCCTACTGTAGTGCGGCGACATCACATTTTCGCCTCACAAATATCAGTATGCTATTGAATAGGGTTTATTCTATTGACTATATCAAAAGAATGGTAAGAAATGACTCTGAAAATAAATCCAGTTTTGCCGGCGGCCTGAAATTGCACTGCATCGGCTGCCTTTAAAAATTCAGCGGCACGACTTCGTCAATGGCGGAAAGTATTGAACCGGCCAGGATGGAAAATCAATGGACGGAATGGAAGGAGACGGAGCTGGGGTGAATTCTCAAGATTGGGTAGGGTTCCACCACGATGGTGCTATAGATGGGGCTCCGTGAACCATGGTTGGATGTGGTTTGGGCGACAGGTGACCGACAGTCGCAAGAAACTTGTACTCTTGAAAAATGGACGACGTACGGTGATACCATCAAAAAACAGCGTTGGTGTAAACTGTGTATGCGAGAGGGGCTTTCTAAAGTGTGCCAGGATGCACGATGATACATCCAATAGGCAGGAACCATACAAACATAATTCCTTCCTTCCTCCCTCCCTCCCTCCCTTCCTTCCTTCCTTCCTTCCTTCCTTCCTTCCCTCCTTCCTCCAGTCATTCATTCATTCACTCACTCACTCATTCATTCATCCAATCATTCACTCATTCATTCATTCACTCATTCATTCATTCATCATTCATTAACTCATTCATTCACTCATTCACTCATTCATTCATTCCTTCCTACGCTGAGTGCCAGGGATGCTGGAATGTCAGGTCGAAGGTAGGTTATGTCAATTCACCAGTTCAGACACAGATGTTTCGGTAATGTTGTTTCCTCTGATGAACTCGGCCGGTTACAATATTTCCTTTCCATATCTCCCGTATAATCAGTTTTTGGGAGAAGTTTTTACGGTAAATGCCTTCCGCAATGAACGTGAAATTCATCACGTAAGATATGTATACGTACGTAATAACAAAATAATTCGACCTTTGGAGAAAAATTTGTTTCCGAAATTGTTTTCATTTCCATATTAGATACTGCTTTACGTGGGTCCTGCAGTAAACCGAGCTAATTCTTTTTACAATACCGCGTGCAGATAGAGAGTGATGAGAAAGTTTAATGAATTCTGGGTTGATATTAGATTCATAATCCTTCTCTGGGATAATGTGGCTTCATCCCACTCAGAAGATTGAAAAGCCGACCGCTTCGTTCTGCATCTGCATTATTCAAACTCGGTCGATGTCTGGATCCAACATGAGCCTAGCCTCTACCAGGCTTCGGAAGGCGGCTGGAAAGAGTAGAAATTGGCCAAATAGAGAGAGAAAAAAACTCGGGTGCGGCTAATTGTACTTCCTAGCCGACCAACTCCCCCGGCGTGTTATCTCTCAATTCGACCAATTTCTACTCTTTCCAGCCGCCTCCTGAAGCCTGCTAGATGCACCATGAAACGTAGGCTGGAGCTAGATAAATCGGGAATGGAAACGGTTCCATATAAATTTTTTCTAGGTACGTCTGTCTCCCTCATTCCTTATTTCTCTCTCTTTGTCTCCGTCTCCCCATTTCTTTGCCTGTCCTTTTCCCCATCTCCCCATCTCTTCATTTGTGAATCTTTCTCTAGTACTCTCTCCTTTTTTCGGTGTGTGTCTCTATGTCAATCTCTCTCCATCTCTCTCTCAGTCTCTGTATTTTTCTTTCACACTCACTCACTCACTCACACACACACACACACAAGCACACACACATCGTGGTGTATGGCCACCAGTACAATCCATATCGACAGACAAAGTAATACATCTGTGTTATAGCATTACCTCATTGGCAGCGCACACTGGTCAGTGGTAAAACTCAATATCAGCAATTACGTTATCACAGTTTACACTCGATATCTATTACATGATGACCCTGGGTCCTTGCTTTTGTGTACTGTGTTTATCTCTGTGCTCTTTGTTTATTACAAGTAGCATACAAAGGTTTAAAAAGTGCGGACAGTACAGGCTTCGAGTAAACACATCGGAATGACAAAGCGAGTACACAATACGGTTTCTCTATGCGAGAAGGCGCGTGACAAATGACTAGGAGAGTAGATCTATGTCTGAATGGGTTAAGGTACGGTTCTGGATAGTCTCCGCATATCCAGGAACGCAGATTTGCCCCAGGCACGGTTCTGGATATACGTAGACGATCCAGAACCGTCCCTGACCATGGTTCTGGATAAAGCACGGTTCTGGATACAACAAGTCCTTTGTAACACGAGCCTCTGGTTCGCTATGTACACCGGCCCAGCTGCAGGTCATTCATTACCCTTTACAAATGGTGCAGAGTCAAACATGTTATATGATCTATTTCTGTCGTCTTTGAAACGTCGCCTTTGTCAAGTACTCCACTTCTGATCACGGCATCCTTTTGATATTTGTTTGATATTGTAATTATCCGTAAATAATTTCATCAGGTTGGTAAATGATTCGATATGAAAGTTCCTTTATTCACAATCATTCGTTTTACATTTAACACCTAGCTTCACCGCACAGTAAACTATAGTCATTATAGCCCTGATGAAGATGACAGACGGTCATCGAAACGTTGGATCATGTAAAACGAATAAAACGGCTGTGAATTAAAGATCTTTGATATCTTAAATCATGTTTTACTCACTGATTTGTTGATGTTACATGCTGCAAGTTCCAACATCAGTTCAGCCAGGTGGCTGCCGTGGTTGGATTTTGTACTTTTTGTCTCATTAATAAACCATGTGTATGTAACGCAGAAACCGAACATTAGATGAATACCTGAGCAGTAGTATCTGATGCGGGGGAATAAATCACTAGTCAGCTGACAGCGAAGCGGCCAGTATTTGACTCTCACGACTTTGCCTCAAGCGATACCGACGTCTGAAGGACAAGACCATCTTAGATCCACCTCCTAACGTCTTATATTTTAGTTACCAAAGCAAGGAACAGAATGCACAAAGACTTGCTTGGTCCTGTACTTGAAAGGTAGATCAAAATTGTCATATTTCAGATAAGGTGCACGTGCTTCAAATTAAGTATTGCAAAGGACTCGTACGCGTGTCAATATATTAATAGTGTGTCTGTGTGTGTGTGTGTGTGTGTGTGTGTGTGTCTGCGTGTGTATGTGTGTGTGTGTGTGTGTGTGTGTGTGTGTGTGTGTGTGTGTGTGTGTGTGTGTGTGTGTGTGTGTGTGTGTGTGTGTGTGTGTGTGTGAGTGTGTCTGTTGGTGTGTGTGTATTTGTACGTGTTCCTGTATATATACATATAACGTTACATTTGTCTGATAAAAAGACTCCTACTGCAGGGCTACAGCACTCCTAATGTACATGTACTCCCGTCAACCTACTGGGTCAAACAGCTGCAATACTAGAGGCTGCTGACACGGCCTTACTGACCCCGAAACAACTGTAACATCAAAATATACCTCGCCGCTTCTGACTGATCTATACAGCGTACAAAGACTGACAAAATGACTCGTGTACAACTCGATATCAAAATAGCCCCGTACCATCTCTGTTAAGGCACGCGCATCCAATGCGATTTCAGAGCAGCAAAACTGGAAATACAGTAATCGGAATAAGGCAATATTTGTGATACATATACATATATATTATTGACACATACTGCTTCACATTAGCACATTTCAATCAGTATTTCATATTTTGGGTATTTAAAACTGCAGAAACAAGCCCCAAGATGAGCCCTTAATGTTTTACTTGTACTTGAGTAATACATGTGTTTCTTGGAGAATATGATTCATAACGTTGGAATTATGATTAATATTTATCTTTGATTTTAATGTTTAGCTTTGAGTTTAAACAGTTGTCTTCTGTAGTTATCGCTAATGCTACGTTAAGTCTTACCAAGTGGAGCTTTTTAGCAGTGAATGTACTGCAAATCATACATCATTTCAGCTGATAATGGCTGCTACTGTATGTTTTGTACGATGTGTACTTGTATTTTGTATTGAAAAATAAACCATCCATATATATTCATATAGAGAAACAAACCAGTCATTCAAAGCCTAACGCCCCCCGGCATTGGCAAACAACGTAACCAGGGGTGCCAGAGTATACAGTGCAATTTTTACGGAATCCAGTGCAATCGGGTTAGTATACAGTGCAATTTTACTACTAAAATTGCACTGTATACGAGTGAAAAATTGCACTGTATTCCGTAAAATTGCACTGTATACTAATACCATTGTACTGTATTCCGTGAAATTGTACTGCACTGTATACTAGTAAAACTGCACTATATTCCGTGAAATTACACTGTATTACGTAAAATTACACTGTATTACGTAAAATTGCACTGTATACTAGTTCTAGTTCTAGTTCTATGCAGTACTAAGCAATACCCCTCGCGGGGTCTAGTGCTTAGGGGAGTATACTAGTAAAATTGCACTGTATTTATTAGTATTTACTAGTATACTAGTAAAATTGCACTGTATTCCGTAAAACTGCACTGTATACTCTGGCACTCATGTTCACCGTGGCCTCGTGCGATCTCCACGCGGTGTTAACGAGGGGTTATCACCGCCGGCGCTAGTAGGGCTTCCCCCCGCCCGTATTTGGGCGTCCCTACGCGGATATATGACTCTGGATTTATCGTACCAACAACACACACCCAACACCATCCCTGTTACACATACACAACACAACACAACTCCACTTACCATGATCAGCTGGGTTACAGACTCCCTCCGATGAGAATGAAGTGAAGGCGTCCGTGTTTCTGTTTTTTTGGGGCGTGTATTTTCGTTGACAGTATCGGCTGTATAAGCTTGGTACGGCAGCGCTAGCTAGTGTGCACTATGGCTGTGTGGATATATGTGCTACACTGTCACCAACATGCCTAGCATGCCTATAGGCCGGGCTGCTTGCAGCTTGGCATTCCCTTCCCACAGCGTGTGTAGTATACAGTAGCCGGGACGGTCCGCTCTTCACCGTACCGCTGCAGCGAGCTCCTCGGTAGCAGGCGGCGTGTAGCCCCGTAGACGTGCCTGCAATGTCCCGGTACGGTCCTCGGTCGTGGGTCCACGCTTACCTCGTCGCTTGGCTGCCGCTGTACACTGTACTTAGGCGCGCGGGGAAACGCACGGGGACGTCATAAAATAAAAACGTCGGCTTCATTTGTATGCGGTGGCGGCGCTTGACCTCTGACCCGCACGCATCTGCGCTAATATGACGCTGCGCGACGTAACGTAGGGAGCGTTTCAAAGGTTGTTTGAGCGAAGACATGATACCTAATGACATTTATTTCATCGACTGCGTCCAATTTGAAGTGCTAAACTCACACTTTATACAACATATTGATACAGAAGTTAAGCTCACACCCTGAATTATTATACTAGGCATTTCAGTTAATCATCCTATTGTCCTTAATATATTGTTATTGATATTAAAGCTCTCTATATATAAAAACAGACAGTTTAAGTTTGTCACGATTAAGGGCTTCATAGGTTATGTGAAATACTATCACAAATTAGAATATGTGATAGCACAAAACTGTGGGAAAATGGATAAACATATGTTGAAATGGGGTCCACTGTATGGTAAATTGTTAGACTGATGTATTGTTTTGCAAAATGTCTCTTGGTGTTTATTTTTCTTGAATGTGAACATGTCTTTTGCCTTTATTCTTTGAAATTCACCGTTCACTCTGTTCACTGTACATTGCAAAACAATCAAGCAAACTGTTATCAGTGTAATGTCTGGTAGATTGGTTACTTAAGATTTAGAAACTAACTTAATTACGCAATGTAAAACGTATGACACCTGCTACAATATACAAAAGTAACCATACATATAAAAAGACTATGTAGTATTGGATATGCTTTATCAATCATCGGTGAAAATCTTTCCTTTACTTTTTATATAAATATCATCCTACATATGAAAACACCCACAAAACGTCCTGTTACTAGCACCAAAGCCCCCCCCCCCATAACCCCGTTAGTCTGTCCAGATATCGGAGCTGGCAGCGCGGCCTACTTCTATTATCATTATTATTGAGCGAAAGTGTAATACGTAATGAAATTTATTTCATCGACTGCGTTCAATTTGAAGTACTAGTACTAAACTCGCACTTTATACACTGTTCACTCTGTTCAGGGTACATTGCAAAACAATCGAGCAAACTGTTATCAGTGTAATGTCTGGTAGATGGGTTGCTTATAAGTTAGTAAAATAGCTTAATTACGCAATATAAAACGTATGGCACCTGCTGCAATATACAAAATTAACCATACATACTATGATACTAATCTACGTTACAAAGACAATGTAGTATGGGATTCAAATGTGTTTTAGAATCATTGGTGAAATTGTTTCCTTAAGGTTTTTTTATGGATATTATCCTAAATATGAAAACGTCCGCCAAAAGTCCTGTTCCTAGCATCAAAGCCCCCCCCCCATACCCTGTTAGTCTGTCCCGATATCGGAGCTGGCAGCGCGGCCTACTTCTATTATCACCGCCCGGCTGGAAGCACTAAAATCAATCACACGGATCGATCTGATCTGATCAGCCTAATTCCAGAATCATAATCCTGGAGGTTCCATATTCCCGGCGTTATGGAGGCTGATTTTAGAATCAGTAAATATTAAAGGGGCTATAGCTAAGGGACTGAGTGGGTGAGTGAGTGAGTGAGTGAGTGAGTGAGTGAGTGAGTGAGTGAGTGAGTGAGTGAGTGAGTGAGTGAGTGAGTGAGTGAGCGTGTGGGTTTGGGTGGGTGGGTGTGAGTCAATGAGTGAGTGACATTAAAGGAATTCGTTTTTTATATAAATGAGTTTGGAGCATACAAAAATCGTTCTTTTTGATATGTATATGAGTTTCGTAACATCCTTCTTTATAGATGGTATTCGTGGTCCTTCAACAGTCACAGCCGTTAGTAGACATGGGGTGAAAGACGTGAAAAGCATTTTCCCGCTGTGTTATTTCCCTCAGGACGGTCGCCAACGGCAAGTTCAACGTCAGGTCCTTTCTCAAGTCGCGGAGGGTGAAATTGAAAAGCAAAGGTCAAGTTAGGGCAATGAAGGTTCCAACTACAAATGAAAGCGCCACTTGCTGGAATACTATAGCCTCTGCCAGGCTTCCATAGCCTCTACCAGGCTTCGGGAGGCGGCTGGAAAGGGTCGAAATTGGCCCCAAAAAGAGAGATAACATTGCCGAAATTGTTGGTCCGCTGGAGAGTACAGTTTTGCCGCAAAATTGCCAACTCCCCTGCCATGTTATCTCTCTTTTTGGGGCCAATTTCGACCCTTTCCAGCCGTCTACAGAAGTCTGGTAGAGGCTAGTAATACTTCACCACTCAAATATAATCGTTGAAAATGTGTATGGTAGGTAGCCTATGTTTAGAGCAGGTTCCAAACTTTTATTTTCCTGTTGCTTTCGATTGGCCTCATATAGTCTCCACCAGACTCCTTTGCTGACTGAATAAATGGTTGAAATCTACCTAAAAAGGAATGTAACTGGCCAATGGGAGTTAGCCGGCCATAGAGGGTTCTATTTGCCAGCTACATTCTTTTTAAGACCGATTTCCACTATTTAGCCAGCCTGCCAAGTAGGCTGGTAGAGACTAGACAGAGAAAGAAAAGTTTAACATGTCTAGTTCGTTCATTTTGACAGTCGTTATTCCCAACATATGCTACAACCGCTGGCAAATTTCCCAACTTTTAATCCTTAAAAAATTGCCATGTAAAAATCTTTCCCCAAATGAATCCTAACTCATTTCTTCTTGTCCTAATTGTACATAAAACCCATCTGTCGCAATTAGGCCTTCATTTACAATTAACGATTCCTATAATCGCGGGGTTCATGGGGGAATTTTCTGAATAAGCCTTGTGTTTTAATGGTATTAATGGAATTGTAATTTGCGCTGAGAATACAGGTTTAATTGTTTATTTGTTCTTGGAAAGCCCGTTCGTCTGCACTAATTTAATTTTTTTCATCAAAAACAGTTAATAACAAAAAATTAAAAAAAGTACAACTTTAAAAGTAGGCTCACCTATTAAAGGCATTGCAAATTTGATTCTGTGGTTGTCGTCCCAACATGAGTTTTCAGGATACAATGTATTTATATGTAGAAAATTGAATAACTGTTTTTTCTTCGTTATTTCAGAAAAAAAGCCCAAAATAAACGCTCTTGTGGACGCTATCCATACATCAGGATTGTGTTACCTTATTTGAAATCCCAAGACGTTGTCTAATGGACACCATATCATGTTACATCCGGCACACAAGACATCCCCCAATGAGGCACTAACCGGCAAAGACGTTTTCCCGTGAGTCCTATAGAAGCGGTGTTTGATGGGCGATGCAGCTTTTCTCCCGGGGACCTTTATGGTCTTAAATATTCACAAAAGGCGGCTGTCGATCACCTTCGTTATTAAACATGACTGGACGGGCGGGTCATTTATAATGCAGGGTATGGAAACAAATGGCAGCTTTCGTCAGTAAGCGTAAGGATATCCTGGGTTCCTTAGATAGAAGCGGCGTTCGGTTCGATAGAAGCGGTGTTCGATAGAAGCGTGCTCGTTAGAAGCGGTGTTCGATGGAGATTGTGTTCGATAGAAGCGTTCTTCGATGGAGATTGTATTCGATAGAAGCGTTGTTCGATTGAACAGGTGTTTGATAGAAGCATTATGGCCACGCGTACTTTAATATGCTGGTGTTTTCTTTGTTATCACTTTTCCCGTGCGGTGACCTGAATCATGTATTGTCCCCACGTCCAAACGCGGCGGTCCTGACGACGTAAGCACCGAGCCGGATCGATCCACGGCGCCGACCAAGTTCACGGTGAAACGGGGCATGCGTCAACGTCACTGGCGCCAAGTTCCGCCATGCATACATGTGTACGTACACGGACACGCCATATTTGTCAGGGCCGCGAGAACACAAGGGCAAACTAACGTCCCGGTCATATGTACACTGTACAATGCACGTACAATGATTTCAAATTCTCAGTAAGGCCACGCCGTCTTCATTTCATGGATGACATCCTCTGAAGATCCCCAAACTAGTGCGCGCGGGTGACTGAAAAAAATTCTCCAAGCAGAGGTTGTGGGAGAATGATCGTTAGCTTTTTATATACATGTACCGCCCTTTTGTTTGTCGCCAACCACACCATCCCGTCGGTGGCCGGTGACCTTCTCTGGCTAATGGCAACTCGCAAATGGATACTGTCTTGCCACCGGATCTGTTTGGAGATTACTATTGTGGGCATTAGACGGACGAAGAAGATATAACTCCCCCCCCCCCCGCCAAGTCGTTCCAGGCTGCATATGGAGCGGACAGGCGTGAGCGCGCACGCGGTGATTTGGGTTGTGTAAGCATTTACCGAGACTCCGTCACACCGGCGGAATACCAAATTAGGGAAATGCAGCGCTGCACGAGTGAATAGCGTTTGGCAAGGCTTGTCAAGATGCAAGATAGAGCACCTTCAATGCAGTCGTCTACAAACTAGCAAGGGAACTGTATAATCGTTTTCGAAATGTTTTAATTGTGTGCTTGCTATGTTTCATATGAACAATGAAAGAGTGTAACAAATAATTGCTTTTAATGCATTATGTACTTATGTAAAGGATGAAATTCGGATATAAACCCGCGAGAGCCTTACCGAATAACTTTGACTTGCTTTGAAGAATAAAACGTCTAGTCAAATGATAACAGAAACTACACAATGATCACCCAATTTAATAATAAGCTGAATGGCTTGCTTCAATAATATTATGGTAACCCCGAAATGTAAAATATGACTTTCTAAATCTCAGCTTACCAATGTTCTATCTGACCTAGTTTATATCTTCCAGTATTCATAAGCCCCGAGCTCAGGTATTATGACAAATAGAAGCGTATTTTCATGCATAACACAAGACCGTTCATCAGTCAATACATGAGTAAGGATGCATATCGACAGCTGAACGGTAGGGTGGCGTTATTCTTCACTTCAATCTATAACATAATTCTTGAATAATATCAATGAAAAAAACACACAGAGAGAAACGTGCCTCATACAAGAGAAGAATGGAAGATTATATTTAGATATTCAGTCCAAATACGAGAAGTCTTACTGTGGGTACGATTCGGAAAATTAGAATTTGGAACTGTGATGCTTTCATCAATGTCCTCAAATATTGATACGCACCGTCTAAGAGAGTACGCCTCTTCATCGACTAATCAATGGATGGATTATTTCTAAAATGCGTGAATTCTAGCAGCTGCTTCAGAATTTAGACGGGATCTGGCGAGGAAAGCCATTTACAGACCCAAAACGCGTTTCTTTAATCCTAGAACATTCATAAGCGTCTTTAAAATTAATTATGTCTTCTTCAAGATTTTTCAATGGGTCAAAGATACTTCCAAAGTCCTTACGAGCAAAGTCATATACACCCGAGCTGCTATGGGCTACTTATTCACTTGTTTTGACATTAAAAAAAGAATGCTGGACTGAATGAAAGAACTCCAATGCAATTTCAGGGCAGCAAAACTTGAAATATTCTGAATAAGGCAATCTTTATGAAATTGACACGTAATACTTCACATTAGCTCATTTGAATCATTGTTTCATACTTTGGGCTTTTAAACTGCAGAACTAGAAACAAGCTAGCCCCAAAATGAGTCCTTCACTTTCTGGGAGGTACCCTAAACATCAGCCCAGGGCCCTTTCAGTGACCATTTCCCATCAGAATTTTTGTAATTTTTGATCCATGAGGGTCAAAATATACTGGGATAGTGTGTTTCAACTCAGTATGTAGATAGAAGACTAGAATATTGGGTTTGAGAAAACGGGGTTTTCAAGGGCTAAAAACTGCATTGGATGCCTTTAATGTGAGAGAATCGTTAAGATAGATTTTTCGTCCGTTCACAGGACAGATGAGACCTATCAGGATGCTGTGGTCTGCAGAATGAGTCTGATCACAGAGATGTTCTTGACGCCCGGAGGAGGCAGGTTGACGCGCGTTTTTATCTATGAACATTGACGTAACTAGGACTCGGGTAAAGTCTGTCAGCTCGTGTTAGAATCTATGAGAATGTCAGGTCTTCTGGGGGTAATACACGTAATAGGAGGTAAGGTAAAGGTCCCGTGGCCGTAGGTGAATTGAGTTGTCAATCCACTGTGTTTAGGGAACGGTTGGTAACTATCTTTCTACCACCTACCTCCCCAATATGAGTCAGGTACCCATTTTACACCTGCAAGGACACGACTGCTAGCCAGGATTGTCAGGAATCGAACCTTCGACCTCTCGATCTCGTGCACGTGTCTGCTAACCTAGCCATTGGACGTCATAGAAGGGGATACGTAATTCAGCCTCTGGTTGCAAATAATTCATTCGCTCATCCATCCATTCATTTATTCTTCAATACATTAAACATGTCGCACGCCGAATGTACGCAGGCTCTGTCGATTGGCTGGAAGTTCTCAACCGACAGCGCTGTCCACTACTGCACGAAGAGTTGGATTTACGTGCAATGGACTACTCTCCAAGCAAAGGTTTGCATTATGGCTTTTTTTTTAGTGTTTTTAGGCTTTTTATCGGGATTTCTTTTTTTTTTTTTTGCACTGGTATCTTTTTACGCCAACTTTTTTGGGTTGGAGAGTACTCCGGTCGCGCCATGTTTTTTTTTTTATTCCAACATGTAATCACAAGACGTGGTGACGGCACACTCAAGTTTTTTCAACTTATATTAATGCCGCCACCAGCTCAGGGGAGAATACAATACTCATTTTCACCTGAGCGAAGTGAGGAAAGTCGTGTAAAGTGCCTTGATCGGTGGCATGTCAGGACTCGAACCCAGGACCACTTGATATCCGAGTCGAGCACTCTGACACTATGCCACACGACCACGCCACGCGCCATATCCTCCGGCCAAGTCCTCCGGTCACACAGTGTCCCCCAGTTGGCGCAGGCAGACCGCTGACCAGTTAGCGGACTCATCATCCGGTCAATTCAAACCAATTTGACCTCATCAGGTACCGGCCGCGCTTCCCCGGTAGGACAGGGCCCTCCGCATCGATTCAATCGGGGGAGGCACCGCCCATGAGCATCGTGGCGCTACGCCGGACAAAGTCAGTTCGGTCGTGTGGCGTTAGCTTCCTGTGCAGGCCCCGCAAGGGGGGGGTCCCTTGCGGGGGGGGGGGTAGCGTATTTTGATAACCGGCCATCCTACAACCAGTCACCGGGAGAAGGTTCCATTCCGCTCAAGGGAGGTGGCTGGTTGTAGGATGGCCCGCTATCAAACGCGTTAACCGTGTGGTGTAACGGTAGAATATCCGACTCGGAACCAAGAGGTGCCGGGTTCGAACCCTGCCATGCTACCAATCTTGTGGCCTTGAGAAAGGCACTTTCCACGACTTTCCTCACATCGCTCAGGTCGAAATAAGTACTGTAGTGTACCCTCTGTGTTGGTCGTGGCATAAAAATAAGTTGAAAAAATTGAGTGGCTAATTTCACTCTCCTTTTTGCCAAATACTACGATCCGTATTCCCAGGAAGGCCTGGTGATGCTACAAAATGGGTCCAATCTCTCTCTTTCTCTCCCTCTAGTTCTCTCTCTCTCTCTCTCTCTCGTACAGTTGCGTAAGCTAACAATGTATATCACAGCGCTGGGATGCATCACGTATTTCAGTACCAAGGACAGTACCACAACATATACTGTGATTACAAGCCAACCATCTCTCTCTCTCTTCCTCTCTCAAATCTTGCATTTCAGTAACAGTATTTCTCTCTCTTTTTCTCTCTCTCCCCGCCCTTCTCTCTCTCTCTCTATTTATCTATCTATCTCTATCTATCTATCTCAACCCACCGGCGGCGGACTGAAGAGAATACATGTTTTAGAGCCGTCCCTTCCAACGTTGATGAAAGTTGCCTTTGATCGCGAGTTTCCATCTGTTCGTGGACCTAATTGCGCGCTGAGTCGTCAGGCGGCCTCCGGCTAACCGGAAGATGAGAGACGATTTGTATCTTTTTATTCTTCCGTTCAATGCCCAACATCATCGCATGTCAGAGTGCGCTGATGCTCAGGGTCTGTAATCTCAGGCTTAACTCCCATATGATTCCATAGCGGTTATCCAGTCTCGTAGTCCTTAACCATAAACGGGAGATGAGGCGATTTGTAGTATACATACTCTATCTATGCCCCTCGCTGCGATGATCCGGCCGTCAAGCTGAACACCGCTTCTATCGAACACCTCTTCTATCGAACACCTCTTCTATCGAACACCGCTTCTATCGAACACGGATTCTATCGAACACGGATTCTATCGAACATCTCTTCTATCGAACACCGCTTCTATCGAACACCGCTTCTATCGAACACCACTTCTATCGAACACCGCTTCTATCGAACATTGCATAGATGTACATGTACAACGTAAATTCCACTTTTCGTGCACTGCAGCAGTGTATTACATCTATGCCCCCCGCTGCAGCCATGATCCGGCCATCAAACCTCTGGGGGATTTTCCGGCTCCGATGACAGATTGGCCTGACGTGAGAGCCTTCTCGCCAAAACGCGAGATGGATGACCCGAACCGGAACCCCTGACAGGAGTCATCCATCTGTCGTCTGACAAAACCGTCCGTCACTGAGCTTCCCTTTAACTTCCCGCCTTTTTTAAACATCACCTCTGTCCCCAACTTGGTCACAACGTCTCGGTTATAATAATATGTTATAATAATGTCTTTTATTTTGCCACTTTCGCACGGTACAGAGTGACACGGTTCCCTTGTAAGGGAACTGAAATGCTCTGAGTCTTACATTTAGTAAAGATGCACCTCGATATTATTTATGGGCATATCTGTTCTTATACCCCCATTATAAGACTTAAGATGCAAAAGAACTGAAATAGCAATTAACACGTATAAGTAACACATTCACAGGTATTCATAATACATGTATAACATAGAACAAAACTTATAGCATAGAATATAAGTTATATTATAACAAACAAAAAGCAATCTAAATCCAGGAATGACCAAATTCGGTTACATAGCTTTTGACAAAGCCTTTCGCACAAATATGGCGGTGAGGTAGCCATAGGAAGTAAACATCACAACAAGGTAGGCCGTGAGTGACAGGTCAGTAGGACGAATTCGAACCAATCCAAGATGGCGGCGGTTCTGCAGATCCGTGAAAGACGCTTGCAGCTGCGTCACGAACGACGCTGACGTCAGCACGTGCCATATTTGGTGTCCGTGGCCGATGACGTCACACGATCCCGGAAGAAACCTTTGCGGAACTTCCGACGCGTGGAAGAAGCCCGCCATGGCAACCAACAGGATGTGACGTGCGTGCATCCACGTGACGTCATCCGCGTTTCCGCTGTAGATGTCGGAGTAGACGCGGTGCATGATGGGTGACGTGACCCAAAGGTAGGTCGTGGTGAATGAAACTGCTTGAATCGTGACTCTTTCCACGTCACCCTTCTTGTAGGTGATATGCGAGTACGAGTTGGCCGCAAAGTAGCAACAGGTTACCAGAACACAAACCCACGGGAACCATGGATGGGCGGAATGGAAAAATGCAGCCTCACTGCTGAGGAAATACTGCACAGTCCCGCAACTGGAAGCGAAAAACGCGATTCCCAAATAGTCCATCATGAAGCCCACGTAATATGCAGCGGTGGAGCGGGAGTGCAGGAGGTGTGCGCATGCGCTGAGGAACTGCGCGGTGAAGTTGCTGACGGCGAGGAGGAGAAGCAGCCTGGAGGATACGTCACCGGTGACGTCAGTCTCTTCTGAAACGTAAATAAAAACAAAACAAATCAAGATTTCAGACTTACGACAAGTATTTTCCAGGATTTCGTAACTTTTATTTAAGTTCACAAACCTCCTGCATGTGTGTTGCGTTTTCGTCAATGTACCGGAAGTGTGGAACTGGGATTGTATGATGTAAATCAATCGGGTATTACACCACTCCCTGAATTCCTCCACATACCACCCACTTACTCCCATGCAGTGAATACTAGTACTGGGTCACCTTGAAGCACGGCCTAGCTATCAATCAACCGTCAAAATCAGCTCCCACCCACCAATAGTTCCTGGAATTCATGACAGGGCCTATTTTTCAATTCTCGTTTTCCTTAACACATATTCACGGAAAATAATATAAATATATGCAATATAATAATTCTTACCGCAGAAAGTCTTGAGCATGTACAGTACATAGAGACACGGCAGAAGTTGGGTCCAGATGTTCACAGTTTCGTTGTGCACGGAAAAGATGCTCATCAGGTAAAAGCGCCAGGGCTGATATGGGGGCCTGTATCCCGTAAGGACAAACGTGTCCCTTTGGACGACCGGTGCTTCATCGATGGTCAGTAACCGCTGTTTCGTTGCCATGGAGACGTAATTGTGTTGGCCGTCCCTTTGGCAAGCTACAAGCTTGATAGAAATGATTATTTTGTTATTGGTTGTTTGTATTGTGCTTATATACATGTACCTGCTTTTCTGACAACTCTCAAGTGCCACTGACGAAAGCTAGTGGATACTAGCTGAAACGTCTGACCGTTTCCAAAATCATATCCAGTTGCTTGAGTTATTGTTTTTTGATGCATCTTATGTCGAAAACCTGGATGTCTAACCTTCACCGACGATTGTTTTGTTAATCTGCCTGATAAATTTTGGTCACAGTAGGCTCCACCCCTGAGGCGTCACCAAAAAATGCGGGACAACGGGTTTGGTTGTTGTGCCTGGGGCATGGTCCTGGGTAAACTTAGCACTGGATACAAGACGCCCCTCCAGCTTACCTTTCCTAACACCTTGACGCTTAAGAGAAACATAAAGGTTTAAACCAAGTCTGTCTCTATATATTTAAACTTCCTTCATCCAACCTTTTTATGCCAGAATCGGTTCCAATCATGCCATTTCGGAAGTTAAAGCTTATACTTAGTATATAAGGAATCCATGAATGAATTAATTAATTTTGGTGTAAGAAAGGGCAGTAAGAATATGGCCCTTCCAAAGAAGTTTATTATATTTGCGCCTGGCCACATTTGGGCTCTAGCAGCATAAAACACCACTCCCAACATAAAAACAAACACCAATTTAAAACAAAACACTTGGTAGAATCACAAAACAATATGTTTCCTACCGGTTTCCTACAAAAGTAAAACAGGTGTAAACTAGTAAAATCAGTGTGTTTAAAACACAAAACATTACCTGTGAATAAGATGCGGTGACTGCCCTGTCTAACCAGCGGAATAAAGCCAGATAACACAGAAACCGTCTTAATAGTTCAGTGGGCAGGGGAATATTTGAAAGGTCAAGAAATCCTGCCTCACCGGTTTGGTAACACCATTGTCATGCAGATATTTGCTGCGGTAGCTGTAGATAAGGCCATGTTGATTTGATTATATGTATGACATCCTCTGGGAATCCCAAAACTGATGCGAGCGTGCGAATATAAAAAAAGGTTGGCAAAAAAAGAGTTATTTTCACTATGAAATCTACGTGGTCATGACGGCTGAACAAATGACACATTTTCGTTTGATTTGGGCATTTTACGACATGGGTATTGTTTTCCAATTTTTTTTTTCAACTTACAGTCTATATTTTCTCATTTTGCAACTGTTTTGTACGGCTTTTTTTGGAAACAGCCGAAAATTCATGCCCGCGCGGATGTCATCCAAATAATCAAATCAACATGGCCCAATGCGACATAAAGCAACCTGTTCAACAATTCCAAGGTTCTAGATCTCCCACCCCATATCCCCTAATCTCCAAGCAGATGTTCGGTGGTGCAAAAGACTGTATCAACCCCATTCCATCACATATATCACTCCAGGCAGCTCCACTACATCAAACACCTTGTGATTGATTTCTGCTCCAGGCCTGCAAATTAAAGATCATTAAACTACGCAGGGAAAGTGGGGCAATTGCAGTTGATCAGTCCGGTCCTGTCGATCACGAGAAATTGGTCCTGAGGAAAATGAGTTATTAGATAGAGGGGACGCCAGGACCAGATGGGACCAGGTTGACAAACTAAGGAAGACAAGGCCACACCAATTTGACTGGTTGGTTCTCAGATTTTTTGGGGGAAAAATATGATGCAACAGGGCAAAAAAAATAAAAACGAACCTAGGCATCCTATGGTAGCCCCAGATGCTATGATAGGAGCCAAGATGTCAACATACCTGGCCGGTTTGTAATTCAAACATTGAAATTGTTTGAATTTCAAACCACCATGACCACTGCATTGATAGATGAAAAAGCTGTAACAACTCTGAAGAGGCTGAAGTAGTTGATTCAGAGGCTAAGATTTTTTTTTTAATCAGAAAGAATGAAGGGGACAAATTCATGAAACAACAAATTAAATTGGAGTGGCCCAATGATGACTTTAGTTCTGATCACAATGGATTCAGGAATTCTAAAAAGTAAAAAAAGTTCAAGTCAAACACCAAATTTGGTGAAAAAAAGAATAACTATGACCACTGTGGTGGCTGAGGTTGGGGGCAATTTTTAACTCACATTGGATTCAGAAATTACTTTACTTACTTTACTTTCAGAAATTAGGAATTTAAAAATAAATTAGGTCAAATGTTGCTAATTAAATACTACATTTCATGACAGATCACAGAACAATTGACAAACTGGGAGCAATGGCAACAGCAGGACATCTAAAATGAGTCACGATGGATTTAAAGTGACAAGAAGAATTGGAAATCTAAAAAAAAATGTTCAAGTCAGAGGAAAACGAGTTATTAGATGGAAGCGACTGTGGAACCAGCTGAGACCAGGCTGACAAACGCAGGGCAACAGGGTTGTTATAGCTCAGGTTACTTGTATATGGGATTCAGGGGTTATAAGGCCACACCAATTTTATTTGTTCTTTCACAGATTCGCCTGCTTCATTATTTCTATATTGCAAAAAAAAAAACATTTCAGCCTCTGAATCAACTGAATCACAGTGCTCATATTTTGTCCCCAACAGTTGAAGGAAGTCCCTTCTCTTCAGAGTTTCTACAGTTTTCCCATCTATCAATGCAGTGGTTTGATAAAAATTTTGAAATTCATTGTTTGAATTTACAAACCAGAGTGGTATGTTGACTTCACGACTCCTATCATAGCATCATTGGGCGTGGGGCTATCATAAGATACATGTACCTAGGTCTGTTTTTATTTGTCTCGTCATGTCACTTCATATTTTTTTCAGACAACCAACAAATCAAATTGGTGTGGCCTAGATTTAAAAAAAAGATGACAGTTATGTTTTAAATCAGGTCACATTGGATTCAGGAATAACGAATCTAATTTATCTAAAAAATCCTTCATGTCAAATACATGTATCTCTAAAAGTCTGATTGAATACTACATTTCATGACTGATCACAGAACAATTGACAAACTGGGGAGGATGGCGATAGCACTGCCAACTAAAATGGGTCACATTGGAGTTAGAGTCACATTGGAAATCTAAAAAAACGTTCAATTCAAATCACTGTTAGTCCTGGCAGCTGAGACTGTGGAATATTGGATATAAAGGGATGAGTTGTGACATCGGCAAAATTGATGTTTTAACATGGGTCGTATCGTGTTTGGAAAGACACAAAGAATTGGAAATCTATATAAAAAACACATCCATATCAAATTACAATGTTGCCAACATTTAATTTAGTTTTCCAGCATCTTATACCCTCACATTTTACATAGAAAGGCACAATATTCTATCACAAATCCTATTCGATGCTTTAGTTAAGACCAGAATTTCTTTATGGATGCACCTCAGATTTTAAAACATGGCTACAAAGACAAGATTGGCAGCTAGTCATCAATCTAAACAAATTGTTACCAGACTATTCTGATGGCAGCCTGGACTTAACAATAGCAGGACAACCTTCAGTTCTTAACACTTGAACTGCTACAGATGTAAGCAAAGATCATGGCCAGACAGTAGTAACAGCACCCAGGCTACATTAGTCATACCTCAGTATCTCATTCATCTATAAGCATCAACATGGAAACTGTCCATGGCTTAACACAATATAACAACAATTCTGTAACGTTGAACATTTCATTACATTGCATTGGTTTCATTAATCACTGACAAGAAGTAGTGGATGCTAGTACTGTACTTGAAACACCTACAGTACAGAATCTTTCAAAATCTATCCTGTTGCTTGAGTAACTGTTTTCTTGGGTATTTCATAATATAGTGGGATACACAAGAACACAGTTACTCAAGCAACAGGAGAGATCTTTTAAGATTCGGACTTTTCAGTAGCATCCACTACTTTTTCCTAGGCCTTACAATACTACTAGGCAGGGAATTATTATTTAATTTTCCTATCACCACTCTGTAAGGAAGGTTTGCTGCCAGACTGTTTCAGGCCAGCCGTCGGCCCGTTATCGTGGATTGGAGGCGGAGGGACGGTCGGCGTTCTCCACATGTACACAAACCATGCGACCAACCCGATGGGAAGCAGCCACATCACCCCACCCAGCACATACAATAGGAACAGTAGGGCCATCACCACTGGGTGCAGGGTACGGTCAAACACTATCATGGTCAGGCTGAGTCTGTACAACAGGATAATAAGTCTAAACCAATCCTAATCCCAAACACTAGTCTACTTGTAGCCAGAATCTTGCAGTTGTTGCTAAACCAATGATTAGCCAGGAGTGTTACTGTGATGTTACAACCCAGGCTACTGGGTGCAGGGTACGGTCAAATATGATCATCGTCAGGCAGGATTTAAGAAGCAGTCTGGATAAGAAAGTCAACCCCAGTGATGAACTGGGACGAGGGGGGGTAGAAACCCACAACCTTCAGCCACTTTTGGGATTGTGTTCTCACCGCAAAAGCGCCACCTATATATAGCAGCAAGAAGAAATACTCCAGTCAGAAGCTCTAAGAAAGGTGTCTGATAGACACCAAAATGTAAGCAAGGTAATATACAAACATACCAACCTGATGAAACTATTTTTGGAAGGATTGTCAGGCTGTGTATGTATAACAGGATTAGAAATCTCAACCAATTCACTTCAAGTGACTCAGCCAGTTCTATGATAATCTAAATTGAAATTGAAGACTATAAGATAGGAGAGGTGAGGATGAAATTCGATAATGATTTCTGATATTCAATAATGATTTTTGATAGTCGCTGCTGTCTCTAATGATGACACAGCCAGCTCTCATTTAGCAGCTTAAAGGTAGGACATGTACACTCCAAACAGAAGACTATTGACTGTGAGAGACGGGAGGGGAGTGTTGTAATATTGATTGGGTGGGTGGGGGATGTTGGGTGTGATACAATGTTGATTCCAGCCAGTTCTCACTGTATTGATTTCCACAGTTTTTAGGCAGTTCTCACTGTTTCCTACTGAGATACAAAACCCCAAACAGAAGACTGAGATATGTGGGAGGGGAGGTGAGATACAGTATTGTTTTCCACACTTTCCAGCGATCGATCACTGTTGCCAGCTGAGATATGAAACTCCGAACAGCAGACTGTGATTTTTTTTATTATGGGGGAGGGCAGGTATAAGAATGTGCGATACGATGTTATTTTCAGCCAGTTCTCACTGTTGCCTGCTGAGGTACGACACCCCAAACAGCAGCCCGATGAACAGAAGTCCTCTCACTCCCATCAGCAGGAACACCAGAACCACCCCAACCGTCGCGATCGGTTCCACCGTCGTGCCCGCGAGCTGAAAACGAGGGATGCCCAGTGCCAAAAGTTTCTGGTTTATCGCATCGAACATGGACACCTGCTGCACATGCTGCCCACCTGGTCCAACGTTCGGATTCTCCTCGTGCCGGATGTACCCCTGGAGGTTGAAAAGAAAAAAAAACAGAGATGGGCTCACTCAGGCTTTTAAAATGTACCTGCAGTTGGTGAAGTAAAAACACATCACTGCAGTACCAGTAAATCTCAGCAGATGGCACTGCTAACAGGCCATGACTTGCACATGTGTCCCATCATGGAGGTAGAAAAATGAGATTTACCTCCATGGTCCCATGGAAGTGTATCTTTTGTACCCCTGCAGTTTGTATATAAAGAACAGGGATGGCTTTCATCTAGTAGTAACATCATCCTATTGTAGTTTTGGTCATCCATTGTTCAGTCTATTGCAAATTTATACTGGTATGTCACACAACAGATACGTCAAGCCTCATGATGATGCCTCATGGGATTGTATCATCATATACAGATTTTACTGCGTATTCGTTTAAGGTCAAACACTGATGTTGTTCTTATCGAAAAGTAGGCGATGCACAGTAGTGACAGGGTGGGGTGGGGGGCGTTGTCCAAATTATACTAGTACATGTAGTTTGGAACGTCAAAGGATATATTTTACGACATGACATTGCCCTTATTCCATTGCTTACATAATGAAACATTAGGTTTATATGGCTAAAAAATTGGTTAACCGGCCTAAATAAGCGTTGCGTACAAATCGAAAACTATATATGTTTACGTCAGACACGTCGACGACTGTAAACAAATATATCAGTATTTTTTTTGGCTACTCGATATAATTTTGTATCTTACCTGTCTTCTTGGGGCCTGCTGATTTTGCTGGTTGGGTCTCCGTACTCTCGGATCGTCGTCCTGCACGATTTCGCCGTTCGCTAAAATTCTAACCATTCTGCGGCGACAAAAAACGGAAAATAATCAATCTAAATCAACGTGAGGTGACGAATCTTATCCTTGGCGGCCATGACACTTTTAACCTTTGACACGAGGGGAGCAAAAACAAAGATTTCAGCAGAATTAGACAATTTTTTCCCTTTTTGGTTTAACTTTATGATAAAATTTCAATAAAATGACACAAAGTATCAACGTTTTATCATATTGGTGCAAAAAAATCCATAAAATCTGTGATTTCTGGTAAAAACATTCCCATCATGCAACACAGATCTGACCTTTCACCTCTAAATCAACTGGTCCAAACAAACTTGTCCCTAGCAACCTTGCACAGCGGCAGTTCCGACGTTTCAGGGCGACTTTTCGGATCCAAACTCCACATTTCTGACGGTCAGCAGTTTTTACTGGTACGTATAACACCATTGAATCTTTAGAAACGTTATTTGGCTTTGGAATCTTCCTCAAAACCGTGTTTTGATTGAAATAGTGTGTGTCGATTGAAAGAAAGGATTTTCTCACAAATCATTTAAAAAAAAAAAAATGTCTTGTGCCAGAAATTTCATCATGAAGCTAATCGCAGGTATAGTTGATGGTGCGATCACTGGGAGAAGGAGCAATGGACACAGAATACCTGAAAACACACCTGGACTCCTGTATGACAAACAAACAAAGAAACAAACACTAACCTGCACACCTGTCCGCAGGTATAGTTGATGGTGCGATCACTGGGAGAAGGAGCAATGGACACAGAGTACCTGAAGACACATCTAGGCTCCTGTATGACAGAATGTCTAGCGGAGGTAGCGGAGAAAAGACCGCTCGATCCTATTGAGTTCATCGCACACTGGCTCTACAAGTACAAGGAGAATGAGGCATACCTGAAACAGGTAGGGATTCTGTCTATATTCCATGATCTTTCTCCCTCCAATGGTATATTTGCTGTGTTTTAATGTCATCTGGTCTCTTCCCTTGTTGGAGTAATACAAAAAAGATAGCAATTCCAGAGTATTGTGCCAGAAAGAAGTAGTTTTTGTATGATGATAGTTTGATAGTTTGATACACTGTCATATTGAGTTTTCATGTATATTGTATATTTGTTAAGAAAAACTTGCATAGAAATATTAGAACAAGCTTGTATAGTGCTGTAAGCTATGTAATCATATTGCTCTATGCTAGTAATCTGTGTTTTTTCCATTAAAACTTTCTGCCTCCCTGCCTACCTTTCCTCTGATCTGGACTCCATACATGTAGCAGGTACTGAAGTCTTACTAGTATTTCTTCTGTTATGCTCACTTTACTGTTAACTTTCACCTTGTTGTGTGGCACTACTTACTTAAAGATGGCTCTTTGATACTGGGTTTATGACTAACATTTGTTCTTGTGATTTCTTGAATGTGTTGCTTGCACTTGACCACAGTTGTTTGGTTGTCACTAACATTTTTTATTAGTAGTACTGTATTCCAGCTACTTGATTACCACCATGATTTTCTTTGTAGCTTTTCATTTTATTTAATTTAATTGTTACAGTCATTTTGTTGAAAATATGAGTCGTGTATGACATGTATTTTGTAGACTGAAAGTAGTGCAAATATAATGAGGTTTCTACTGTTTGAATGTGATGTTAAAAGGTTAAGTTTTCAATCTTGTTTCTTATCGAATTAAATGTCAAAATAAATAAGTAAAGAATGATTAAAAGAAATGCCTTGTTGATGATTGCAGGAGGATGAAAAGGCAGAGCAGCTGGCAGCAGAGAGGGAAGAGGCGGCACGAGAGATGGAGAGGCAGGAGAAGATGAGAGAAGAGGCTGACAGGATACTGAGAGAGGAGGAAGAGAAGAAAAGGGTAAAGAGGGTAGAAAGGGAGAGAGAGAGGGAGGGAGGGATAGAAGGAGAGATGGAGAGACAGATGAGAGAAGAGGCTGACAGGATACTGAGAGAGGAGGAGGAGAAGAAAAGGGTATGGAGGGATGGAAGAAGAGATGAAAACTTGTTAATTAAGAAAATAGTTAAAAAACCTCCTGTCTCTCTTGTCTAGTTTTCATTACCTTCGCCAAGAAGGTTATGTTTTCAGAGGCGTTCGTGTATGTGTGTGTGTGTGTGTGTGTCTGTAAACACGATAACTTGAGAAGGCTTTGAGGGATTGTCTTGATACCTGGTAGGTGGGTAGGTCTTGATGAGACCTCAAAATGATTAGATTTTGGACCCCCTAGCGTCTTGTTATGGTACTGCAGCTGAACTTCCGGTTTTGATATCTCATGATCTAGACATGCTAGGGTGACCAAATTTGGATGGTAGGTAGCTCTTGAGCTGGGGAAGAAGTGACGTGACTTTGGGTCCCCTAGAGGCTTTCTCTGGAACTGCAGGGCTATATGTTTGAAAATATTCAAAAGAGGATAACTCAAGAACCGGGTGACGGATAGTCGTGATTTTTGGTATGTAGGTAGCTTACGTGATGCTTGATATAATTATGTGACAATTATGCAAATATGGATGTAATTTGCATAATTTATGGTGAAATTCTATAAATCAGCTGTATTCCATGATAGGACCATTGAAGCTTGTGTAATTGGTAATTGAGGACGAGAGAAACACAGGCAGATATTGATTATGTAAATGAAGAACTTAATTTGCATAATTAATGAGAAATTTTATAAGTATGTAATAATAAGTGCCTGGAATTTTATACTAGTGCCATGTGATATTTGAAACTTAAGTGAAGGTAAACATCATTAAACATAATGTATTCAAATTAGGACCTCATTTGCATAATTTATGAGGAAAGGCTAGAATGGCATTGTTTGTTAATAAGACTGTCTTTTGGTTGAGAATATGCTAAAATGATGTACTAGTAATTCATGAAAATGAGGATCCTATTTGTTAAATCAGGGGGAATAATCTATAATTTGTCAGTCATAAGGATTAACATCATTTGGCGAAGGTATGAGATCGGGGAATCGAACTCTAGTTCTTGTTTTTTTTTATTTAGTTATACCCTAATTAAAAACGGACTAGGGTTAAGAAAGAAGGAAAGAAATATAAAAAAAGACATGTCTACTGCTTGAATATGCTGCTCTCTTGTCTGGACAGTATTACAATGGTTTATTTATTTATTTGTTTAATGTGTTTTTGACATTCAGGAGTTGATAGCGCAGAAGGAGGCTGAGGCTCAGCAGGAGAAACCCGTGAAGGAAACCTCCAGCATGCCGGGAGCTCCGACACTGGAGACTGTTACAGAGGAGATGGAGGCAGCGGACGCAGCGGCGGCTGCAGAGAAACCTGTGGTAAGGCTATGGTTACATTTTAAATAGTTTCAGAGAAGCCTGTGGAAACCTGGCAAGCTTTTGTCACATCTAGGTGCAGAAAAGCCTGTTGGAAGACTATAGTTAGTTGGACAGAAGCCTGTGGTAAGGCTATGGTTACATTTGAATAGCTGCAGAGAAGCCTGTTGGAAGGCTTTAACATGTAGTTGCAGAGAGGCCTGTTGTAAGGCTATAGGACTATGGTTACATGGACTATGGTTACATGTACATGTAGTTGCAGAGAAGCCTGTGGTAAGGCTATGGTTACCTCTACTGTACATGTATTGATACATGTACATGTTGCCACACAGAAGCCTGTTGGAAGGCTATACATGTAGTTAGCTGTAGAGAAGTCTTTGGTAAGGCTATGGTTACATGCACATGTAGCTGTAGAGAAGCCTGTTGGAAGGCTTTTACATGTAATTGTTGGAGGACTATATTTAGCTGCAGAAAAGTCTGTGGTAAGGCTATTTATTGCTGTTTCCATGCTTTACACAAGCAGCATCATGCATTCTTGTCACAGCATGAAAGCACATACTAGCAACCTGTCACCTTGTCAAGTTTTAATAGAATGGACACTCAGGTATTTCTTTATCCCACAAGAAGAGGCAAAAAAGACATTATTGGATACAGCTTTTTGCTTGTAGATGTAAAACAGATTTACTGACTGCTAAAAGTCCCACCAGCACAGTGCAAGGATCCTGAAGACAGCACATCACTTCTGAAATCATATCACGCAACATTTTTAACTACACTGTACGTTGACCACAAACGCTATGTCCACTTGCTCCGGCCCACTGATGACACAAATTTGCAAACCTCACACACGACTTCATGGTTTGTCTCACCCCTCCAAGGTGCTGTTTAGGATGAGTGAAGTTGGAGTTCCGGGCATTGTTGTCACCGGTGTGAGTACAAAAGGGTGCAGTACAGTGCATTGGTGACTTTTTACATGTAGTTGGTCAGGATTCAGTTGATATTTGCACCCAGGGTGGTAGTCTTACCAAATTTTATAGTGCTATCATGAAAGTTCATGATGTGTTGGTATTTACATGTTTAAAGTTAAAACTTTTGGTCCAACACAAAAAATTGTGAAGTGTAACGTCAAAGAAGCTACGTGACAAGCTTCACTGGGTCAGTCTACTGAGGAAGACCAGAGTGACTGGTCGAAAGCTCTAAGTGAGAGAATTTTTTGTGTTGGACCAAAGGTTTTAACTTAAACAAATTTTATAGTGATACAGCTGTTGAGGTGAACAATTGATCATGACAAATTTGTTGACTTAGATATACAATCATGTATTCATTAATTCTACATTTCAGGTTTACAAGATGCACCACTTAGTACTCTCTTTAATGCACCTGTATTTTCATTTGGGGTCTTGATTTGTAAAGTTTTCACAGCACATCTTTGTCACCATTTCCAGTTATTCCTGGTGTCTCATTTCTCATATGTTTATCTATGGTCATAGGCAAATTGTGGTATGATTTAAATGATGTCTTGACTTGAGAGTAGCCAGGAGAGAGTTTTTTCTCTGCCTTACTCATGCCTCAATTGATTGATTGATTGATTGACTGATTGATTGATTGATTGGTTGATTGATTGATTGATTGATTGGGAGAGTGAAAAATGGAGTGAGTGAACAATGGAGTGAGTGAACAAGTGAGAGTGAGGGGGTACTAGAGAGTGGGTGTACGTGCAAATGAATGAAGGAATGAATGAATGGATGGATGAACAAAAGAAGATATATTCTCCTCAAGGCCCTCTGCATTTAAGATGATTCCCTGCATTTCATCATTTCATTTTGAACGCAGAATGTCTGAAAACCATTAGGACATAAGCTGGTGTGGCCTAAATATCTGACAGACCGTTTCCCACCATACAGGGTCCAATGCTTTAATTTATGATATCTGCTTGCTATTTTTGACCCTAAAATGTTTGAGAAGCAAGGGAACAAGCTGGTGTTACTTGTTTGCTGTGGTGGTATAACTTATATATACATGTACTATAAGGTGTTATTGATACTTGTACAGTTATTCTGTCTTTTTAAATGTTTAACCTGAGGACTGCCTGAAAAACAGGTCAAGTTTTGACTTAAGTGTATCACCCTGTAAAGTGAAATTGTACTGACACACTGACCCCCCCCCCCACAGGAGGCAGAAGGTGGTGGGGAGGAGGCAGAAGCTCCTGCTGAAGAGGAGGCAGCACAGGAGGAGCAGGAGGGGGGACAGGCAGGTGAGGAGTTTTAAAATTAATGTTTGTTTGTTTCTTCATGAAAAACTCAAATCTTAGCCTCCACCAGGCTTTGGAAGGTAGCTGGAACTAGAGATTGAAGTAACATGTGCAAAGCAAATGCATAATGTTTACCTCCGGACATGGTCTGCTCTGTTAATTCTCACTCAAACACATTCATATACATCATGCAACATTATGTAACCCAACACCAGTCACCATGGTGACAGACATCAAAAAATCATTTCATTGGTCATGTCAGAGGTCACTGGAGAAGAAGAAGAAGAGGAAGAAACAGAGCAAAAACAATATGTTTTCCTTCGGTAAACATAATGAGTAGTGCGGGAGAGGCAAACTGTGCCGTCTAGCAGACCAACTCCCTCGGCATGTTGTCTCTGTATTCGGCCAATTTCTACTCCTTTCAGCCGCCTCCCGAAGCCTGGTAGAGGCTAACTCAAATCAGGCTCCTGGTTGCTTTTCATTGAGGTTATGAGGGAAGCAGTCAGTTTGAGACAAAATATCAACACAAAGGTTACACAATTGAATAAATCATAGAGAATCTACTGGCCTGGTTGCTGTCCTTTTTGTAAACAAGAGCTTCCATGCATATGTTATAGTAGTAGATATGTATAAATTTTGTGTTTTAGAAAATGGGTAACCTGTGTGTAGCCCAGTGGGGCAAAATATACAATAAAGGTCTTTATCATTATTGTCATCATTGAATTCTTAAATTTGTAACACTTTGGCTTGTGAATCTATTTTTTTCTCCCTACTAATTGTGTCTTTTCTTTTCTTTCCACAGAGGAGCAGTAATTGAAAAGCCTTAACACCTTTAAAATGGACCAAATAAAAGCTACGAAAGGATTGACCCAAAACTAGTTCCATTTCATTTTTCACATGCCATAATTTGTATGGTATAACAGTGTATGCTTAATTTAAAAGCGTTTTGCAAAGCGCTTTTGAGTATTTGAAAATAAAAGAGACAAAATTGGCAAATTGAAATGCCAACTTGAAGATTTTGAAGTGGAGAACATTTCCAATTTGAATAGGGTTGTATAGAAAGAAAAAAAAACTACCCGTAGTGAAGGTGATATTTCAAAATGCCATCTTCTTTCCAATTTTATTTTCTAATAGCAGGTGACATGTAACTCTACACCATATTTTGTTCAAAGAGGTTTGATGTCAACAGGTTATCTTTTCTTAACAAAAATTTGCCTCTTTACATTCATGTTACAATATTATGATAGTTGCTTAAAGTGCTGTTTAAAGTTTGTAAAGGTACAATTGAGGTTAGTGAGTACAGCCTGTGTCTTGTTTGTATATAAGTGAATAAAATATTCAGATATTGCACAGACCAAATGTCAAGAATTGATTATTTCCAGACTTGTATTTCCTTGTTATCACAAGATTCAATTGGGTGTATAATTTTTGGTACATGTATGTATAACATTTCAGAAACTGGGAAAAGCCAAATCTCCAAGCAGTTCATACGGTGGCACGGCAGTATCCATGGGCCAGATGAGTACTAGTGTTCAGTGGCCTTGAAAACTCCTCTGGCTAATGGATACTGTCTTGCCACCGAAAAGAAACTGCTTGGAGATTAGGAAAAGCCCTTGTCTACTCCTATAGATATGCCCCGTATATTTTATTCTTACATGAGAAACTACAATACTACAGACTAACAGTATTTATTCATGCAAATGCACTTCTTGATAATATACAAAAATGTCTAGCTGTACATAATGGTACTTATCTTTGTAAAACATATAACAAGTTACATGTATGCTGTTCTACTATCTAGCATTTTCCAGTTACAGTACCAAACGACTCACTCATTGCCATACATGTACTTGTAGATCTACACACAAATTAAACATGTATATGATATACTCAACAGTTATCTCTATATAATTGAAGCACTAAGACCAAAACCATGTATAAAGTCATCATGATCAAAATTTTAATACTATATGTACAAAAATTGCTCTTAAGAGCAGTTTGATGGAAATACAATTGTCATGATGCAGTAAGAAATGGCATAAAAATGCCTCAATATGCCACACACACATACATGTACAAAACTGCATCTAATAACATGCGGTACCATGCAGGGTATATACTAGTATATAACAAGATATTGGCACCATATCTTGATCTAGAGAGGGGTGATTTCTCACTGTCATCTCAATTTAAAACTGCATCGTTGGTTTAGACCAGCAATTCCATTTCATGGCCATTGAAATATTCTTAGGTTTCACCAGAATCAACCTGTGTGAGATTGTGCTTTATTTCGTTCTTGGATAACCTCTCTCATCCTCATTGCCTGATCACGATAGTTGTCGGCCTTTCTGTGATCACCAAGGTTGTCCAAAGTAACAGCCAAGTTGTTAAGTGACATTACAAATTGAGGATCTGCATACCTCTCTCCATAGATGCTCTGCTTCATCTGTAGTGACTGTTCAAGATAGATAATGGCTTTTCTGTAATCACCGAGATTGCCATAGGCTGCTCCCAAGTTGTAAAGTGAGTTCGAAATGTCAGGATGTTCTGTGTTCTTCCCATAGATACTCCACCTCATCTGAAGGGACTGTTCAAAATTGCTGACGGCTTTTCTATAATCACCGAGACCGCTACAGGCCGCGCCCAGGTTGTTAAGTGATTCGGCAATGTCAGGATGTTCGGTGTTCTCCCCATAGATACTCTGTCTCATCTTTGGCGACTGTTCTTGATAGCTGATGGCCTTTCTGTAATCACCAAGGTCGCTACAGGCCGTGCCCAAGTTATTAAGTGATGCGGCAATGTCAGGATGTTCGGTGTTCTCTCCATAGATACTGCGCCTCATCTGTAGTGACTGTTCAAGATACCTGACGGCCTTTCTGTAATCACCAAGGTCGCTACAGGCTGAGCCTAAGTTATTAAGTGATGCGGCAATGTCAGGATGTTCGGTGTTCTCTCCATAGATACTGCGCCTCATCTGTAGTGACTGTTCAAGATACCTGACGGCCTTTCTGTAATCACCAAGGTCGCTACAGGCTGAGCCTAAGTTATTAAGTGATGTGGCAATGTCAGGATGTTCGGTGTTTTCCCCATAGATACTCCGATACATCTGTAATGACTGTTCATAATGGCTGACGGCCTTTCTGTGATCGCCCAGCTTTATACAGGCCCCACCAAGGTTATTAAGTGAGTCGGCAATGTCAGGATGTTCGGTGTTCTCCCCATAGATACTCTGCTTCATCTTTAGTGACTGTTCATAATAGCTGACAGCCTTTCTGTAATTACCGAGTTCTCTACAGACCCCACCAAGGTTATCAAGTGAGCGGGCAATGTCGGGATGTTCGGTGTTCTCCCCATAAATACTCTGTTTCATCTTTAGTGACTGTTCATGGTAGCTGACCGCTTTTCTGTATTCACCGAGTTTGCTGCAGGCCACGCCCAAGTTATTAAGTGAGTCGGCTATGTCAGAATGTTCGGTGTTCTCCCCATAAATACTCTGATTCATTTTTAATGACTGTTCATGATAGCTGACAGCTTTTCTGTATTCACCGAGTTTGCCGCAGGCCGTGCCCAAGTTATTAAGTGATGTGGCAATGTAAGGATGTTCGGTGTTCTCCCCATAGATAGTCCAACTCATCTTTAGGGACTGTTCATGATAGCTGACAGCTTTTATGTAATCACCAAGATCCGTACAGGCATTTCCCAAGTTGTTAAGTGATGTGGCAATGTCAGGATGTTCGGTGTTCTCTCCATAGATACTCCACTTCATCTGCAGTGACTGTTCATGATAGCTGACGGCCTTTTTGTAATCACCAAGTTGCACACAGGCATTGCCTAAGTTATTAAGTGATGTGGCTATGTCTGGATGTTCGGTGTTCTCCCTATAGATAGCCTTCATCATCTGTAGTGACTGTTCATGATAGCTGACTGCACTTTTGTAATCTCCAAGTTCGTTACAGGCATTACCCAAGTTGCCAAGTGATTTGGCAATGTCTGGATGTTCGGTGTTCTCCCCGTAGATAGCCTTCATCATCTGAAGTGACTGTTCGTGATAGCTGATGGCCTTTTTGTGATCACGCAGGTCCATACAGGCATTTCCCAAACCATTAAGTGATCCTGCAATGTCAAGATGTTCGGTGTTCTTCCCATAGATACTCTTCTTCATGTTAAGTGACTGTTCATAATAGCTGACGGCATTTCTGTAATCGCCGAGTTCGCTACAGGCCGTGCCCAAGTTAGTAAGTGATGTGGCAATGTCAGGATGTTCGGTGTTCTCCCCATAGATAGTCTTCATCATCTGTAGTGACTGTTCAAGATAACTGACGGCCTTTTTGCAATCACCGAGTTTGCTACATGCCCTGCCCAAATTGACAAGTGATCTTGCAATGTCAGGATGTTCGGTGTTCTCCCCATAGATACTCTGCTTCATCTTTAGTGACTGTTCAAAATAACTGGCGGCTTTTCTTTGATCACCAAGTCTGTCCCAGGCCTCTCCAAGGTTGTTAAGAGACGCAGCAATGTCAGGATGTGGATTCCCTTCACCATATTTAGATGTATCACTCTGTAGTGCTTGTTCTGTACATGTCTTACAGTTTTCATAATCACACAGACTTCTATACACCTCTGCTTTTAGTCTGGGGGAGTCATCAAATAGAATTGATAATTCCTCTGTTGAATGGCGGTTGGGAAGGTGTGAAATAAAGCACTTTGTTGGCCTTTCTGTGTAATAGTATCTCATGAGCTGTTTGGCATTTGAAAAGTAAAACACTTTCTTTAATGTCTCCCCAATGTCTGTGTCTGGTGATGTTGATGACAAGGTTGACATGCTTTCCACCTGGCCTCCATTACTCATGTATGTCCGCAGCCTCAGTTCTGCTGAGATGCTCACCATCACCATCAAGTGATGTGCGTTTTCACGATTGATAGCGCCAGTTTTGTTCAGATTCTCAATAGTCTCCCAGATTGTGGTTGGTTGTATGTTATGGAGTAGTGCCAAACAAGACACTGCAAGACTTGAAAATCGATACATTTCCTTTTTTACATCCATCAACCTACCGGGTTTCACATCGTTCTGAAACATCCGTACATTTTCACTAAGATGTGTCAGTGCTAGTAACAAATGAGGTATCCCTCCGTGATTTTCTTGCAATTGCTGAGTCCATAGAGCGATATACACATCAACCAACTCCTGTTCTCCTGTAATTAAACACACATTCCCCAATATGCTAGCAAGGTGGTATCCTTTCTTCAAATGAAAAGTAAGGTCTTCTTCTAGAACTTTGGTCATCTCCCTTGGTGTGTGGATGAGATAGCTGTTTTTACCTCTGCCTAGAGGAGTTTTGCAGGCGTGTGGCATAGAGCCATCAAATGCAAACCCGCGTGGTGTTACGGAGTCATAGAACCAGTTGTCTAGAGGGTCTTTTGAATAGAAATCATTAAGCGACTGAATCCCCATTGCCGGGAGAATGGTTTCACCCAAATTGATGACTTTGAAATGCAGATAATGAGTGAGCTTACGGAAATAACTGACATTGCTTTCTTTTTCCTCTTCAACTAAAATGGCAAACTCTAGATCAGAGTATGGTGTTACCAATCCTGTGGCTTGTGAACCCATGCCTATCATGGCGTACTTACAGGGAGGGGGGCCCATAACCTCCATACATTCATCTACAAGGCCAGCTATGAACATTTTTCGCTGATCGACAATCGTGTCAAACAATGCCCTGATTTCATCTGCTCTCCTTTTCTCTACTTCCCTTATCTTTGGGTCGTCATCAGAAAGACTGTAAGGATCTACCTCTTGCTCAATTCTTTTGATCTCTTCTTTTACAAAGTCTCTCTGTTCCCCTAACTTCAACTTGTGTTTCTCTGCATCACCAATGTCTACCTTATGTTCAATATTTAGAACATGCTTAAAAAATGATCGACTTATTCCCTGGATAGCTTCCTTAATGTCTTCCCTCCTACATCTTACCAGTGCTGCATTACAGAGTGCTGCAGCCTTGGTGAAGTCTGCCCCGTCTTTAGACTGGATTCCTCTCTTCATGTAGACGTCGCCTAACTTGTAGAGGGGCTCTGCTTCTTTGATGTGTTGGTCAGATTTTGAAACTGTAGAGAATAAAATTCACAATGTTTAAAATATATTGTGCTTTTGATGCAGTTGAACGATGATATTGCATTACCAAATGCGCTCTATATAGCAACAAGATTGATGTGGACCATTGCATTACTAATTTTGCACAGCTTTAGCACATTTATAAGATGGGCCATATTACTACAAGAGACATTTGATAAGATTTTTAAGACTCACATTTGACATGTACAGATTTGAGTGCAGCTGCAAAGTGTTGTTCTGCTGAGCCCAGGTCTCCTGTCTGCAGGGCCCTGCAGCCCTCCTGTAGGTGGTCTTGGTATGAGCTGCAACAAAAGGATGACATATATTATCTGTCAACCAAACATTTTATTTGATAACTAAAAGTAAGTTACTTCAAGTGCACAGTTAGTGTGTATTTTACCTGCAAGTCAAAGATTAAAAAACACTATTTTACCACAGTTTACAACCCCCTGTGTTGCTTGGTAGTCAAAATATTATAGTCAGTTCCTCGATAAATCCTTTAACACACACACACACACACACACACACACACACACACACACACACACACACACATAGGCAGATGCAGCTTTTATTCTTAAATCAACGTTGACCATCAGGGCTTCCCTACCTGTCATTGTCTGGACTTGGGTGGTTGCCCTGAGTAACATCAGGTCTTTTGATGTTCCCAAACTGAGGCCTCGTGGGTGATCTTCTTCTTCTTCCTCTTCCTCTTTTTCTTGATGTGTTTGCTGATGATTGCTGAAATATTCAATGAATTGTACTTTTGCCATTGTCGTAATCTTAGGTACAAATATCGTGACTGTGGTGTACTCATTGCATGGTACAAACATATAGTTTTACATGTCTACATTGGACCCATCGTAACTACGCTTGTCAAATTAGCAAGTTACGTAATATTGATGTCCTCAATTGACTTGGTGAAATGTTGTTCACTGCTTTTCTGTAATGTGGGTGTTCTGGCCCGGGTCACATAGTGTTCTATGGCCTGTGAGAAAAGTCTTTACATCTTGTGGGCCCGAGTCACATACTGTTGGGTGGCCACTGTAGACGTCAGAAAAGTCTTTGCATGTTGTGGGCAGTGCCAGTCATCAAATTAAACAAAACAACTCACCTTTCTAGCCCTCACTGCTCCCCAGATCTTCACCATGTACAAGACACGATGGTGCAGAGTCTGTTTCGTCTCCGGATCCTCACATCTGGTCAGGGCCTTGCCGTACATGGCAGCTGCCTTGGAGAACTGGGATGGTTTGGATTTTTTCTTGCCTTTCTCAAAGTAGAAATCTCCTAGATATTTGAGGACCTCAACCTCCAAGAACGTGTCACCCTTGCTGATTGCAGTCACTAATGTTTCTGTGTAGGACTCCTCATCAGATTGCCAGAGTTTACCCACCCTTTTGTCTAATTTGTTGCAAATTTCTGCCACCCTTAAGACATTACTGTCAGCAGTGCCCCAGTAGTCTGGTGACAACCACTGATACTGTGGAGTGTACCCCTGCAGTAGTTGTCTGTAGAGTTTCTCCATGTAGCCGATACGATGTTCCAGCGTTTCTCCCATGCCTGGATCTTTGCAGCGCAGTAAGGCAGCAGCATACAGGGCAGCAGCCGTGTCAAACTCTGCCGAATCTTTACTTTGCTTGCCTTTCTGAAGATGCAGGTCTCCAAGACTTTTTAGGACTTCTAACTCCATGAAGAGATCCATGGAAAGAATGGCTTCTCTCAGAGCCCGCGCATACCCGACGTCGTGACTATGCTGACTCTTGAGGCACAACTCCAAGTCCTGCAACTTGTCTGCCAGGCTGGTCATACTTTCAGGCATTTTCCTCGTTGATTTCTGCTCCGATGATCGACCTATAAAGAGAGAAGAAAACAATCTGTCAATATGATTATTTTGTCACATTATCTGTGTTTTGATCACGCTAGAAGCAGTATCTCCATGACACGATGGATATATGTTGCCCTTTCATAGACCTCAACAATTTGATTTTGATATAAACTGGTGGCTAATTCCCAAGGGAGAGGTAAACCCTTGATCTTGATTTAATTTGTAGCATGTCCTGGCAGCAGTCTGGTACGTCATCAGGGGATTCCCTGGAAGGGGAATTCCATGACGAGTGAAAGTCCCCTGATGACGTAACAGTTTCGGACCCGGTGCGTCATACCGGACCTGAATACACATTTTCCATTCTAATCTGTGGTCCATTGTGACCGTCTTAACAATACACTAATACTATCACATGATAGCAGAGTCATTTTTCTTTTACTTTTTAGCACAGTATTTATCTATGCTATTTACTACAATTTTTCCACATACAGGGAAGGAATGGTAGAAAGGGTGGACGTAAGGGCATCTTTTCAAAGCCACTGTTCCGACAAGGACATACAAGTGCATACGAATACAATACAATATTATAAACATAACATTACTTTATAACACACACACACACAGACACACACACACACACAAACACACACACACACATACACACACACAAACACACACACACACACAAACACACACACACACACACCCTCACATACAGTAACACACAACATTCATTATAAACCCTCATATGGATAAAGGTAACAGTCTTCGATTCATAATAGGTTAAACGCAGTTGTAGTACGGTACCTACTATTAGTACTAAGCCGTTCCTGTTTAACATAAACACTGCAACTGTACATACGTGACTTACTTACTGCAAGTCTTAACGGTCCACCTTGTCCTTGGCACTGCTGGGGATGAGGAATAATGCTGCTGGTCGTGTGAAAACTCTTTAACGGCTACATATTGTACCGACCGGTTGGTAGAACGGAGCAGGTAACTAGTACAGGTGAAACCGGAAGTCCCCAGGTGAGGTCACACCTATCGTACCGCGCGGGGCCGTCTGGGAACGGGGATTGCCCATTGCAAGGGCGACTCATGCATCTCGACAACCCGGATCGTCGTATTAACACCCTCCATTACTAGCCTCCTGTGCAGGCCTCCGGGCGGGTGGGAGTTTTGATACTGCGTTTTGTAGAATTTTAACACGTTCTTTTGCCGGCCACCTTACAATCAGCCACCTAGAGAAGGTTTTGTACCTTCCACGGGCGGCTTGTTGTAGGATGGCGGGCAAAAGAACGCGTTAAAATTCTACAAAACGCAGTATCAAAACTCTCACCCGCCCGGAGGCCTGCATAGGAGGCTACTCTCTCTTTCGTATCATCCATATCTGACCGATCCAAGAGCCACTTTTTAGACCAAGGAATTTGTGACCTGCGATTAGGTCTTTTGAGAGACCTTGGACATTTGAGTAAAGGTTCTTTTCTCACAAAAAAAATCCACACAAACATTGTAGACCAACGGCCAAATAATTTATTGTGATAATTGTCGTCTGTAAAAAGAACACTTTTTTTCCTACAGAAAGTTTTTCCCTTCATTTTTCCCTCTAAGAATACACTACTGATTTTCTGTACTACAACGTATCTACTTCTGTCTCTACTTTCTCACCAACCCTTTGGAATCACAAAAAAAAATCAGGACATTTCAGGAGGCAAATCGTCTACAAATCACTAAAGTACGACCGACTCTCCTCCACTGGGAGTTTACCGCAATCTGGAATGAGCGACCTAAAATGGCCGTGAACATGGGAGAATGGTCTTCATGCCTTACAGTAATGAGAACATCTACAGATGGTTTCTGTGCAATGAAGAGTGCTGTTAAACATAGGATTAAGTCCTGAATGGCATGAAACAATGTGGCTATGCCATGGTAAATCAAACACCAGTTAAACCATACATTTGTCGTTGTAACGAAACGGAATAATAACACACATAATCAATGACTAAGTCATCGTATCATCCAAGGTTCATGCATGTTACATACGTGGTTCATACATGAAAAAAAGTACACGGTTTCACCTAAAAGATCACAACCATGCATGAACATATCACAACCTTAACAAGAACATATCCAACAATATCAAGTAGGAAGTAAACAACGTTTCGTCATATCTATGTTTCAGAGATGATTCTGCCGATGCAGTATTTTCCCCTCTTCTTTCTGGTGTCTATGCACAACTGAGAAAGTGTGGATGAAGTCAGATGAAGCCACATTGAATGACAGGTACAATTCTAGTAACTGATGGACGTTATATTTATACTCCTCTATAACAAAGCTATAACTTAAAACTACAATTTCATCCATTCATGTAAATACACTTTTTACTAATACACATAAATGTGTTCATAATAGTACTTATCTGTTGTTCTAGTTTCTAGCATTTTCCAGTTACAGCACTTACAAGCAGCTCCCTCATTGACATATGCAGCACATGTAGATCTACACACGCAATATACATGTATGTGATATACTCAACAGTTATCTCTATAATAGATAGACGGGTTCACAACAATATATGAAGCTCTCATGATCAATTGTAATCTTAACAAGTATTGCCCCATTGACAGCAGATTAATGGAAATACACACCATGATACAGGGACGATTGCGTAATCTTTCACTATGCCATAACAAGATGTTGGCACCATATTTTGATATCAGCAGATCTATGGAGGGTGTATTTATCACTACCATTGTCATTTCAATTCAAAATGAGTCTCTTTGGACAGGCAATTAACTTTTCATGGTCTTTGAAATATTATTGGTTTTCACCAGAGTCAGCCAGTGTGAAATTGTGCTTTATTTCGTTCTTCGATAACTTCTCTCATTCTCCTTGCCTGATGACGGTAGTTGTCAGCCTTTCTGTGATCACCAAGACTGCCCCAAGTAACAGCCAAGTTGTTAAGTGACGTTACAATGTCAGGATGTGCATTACTCACCACATAGATACTCTGCCTCATCTGTAGTGACTGTTCATAATAGCTGACGGCGTTTTTGTGATCTCCAAGGTTGCTACAAGCCGTGCTCATGTTATTAAGTGAGTAAGCAATGTCAGGATGTTCGGTGTTCCCTCCATAGATACTCTGCCTCATCTTTAGTGACTGTTCATGATAGCTGACGGCCTTTCTGTAATCACCAAGGTCGTTATAGGCCGAGCCCAAGTTATTAAGTGAATCGGCAAAGACAGGATGTTCGGTGTTCTCCCCATAGATACTCTGCTTCATCTCTAGTGACTGTTCAAAATAGCTGACAGCTTTTCTGTAATCACCCAGGCCGGTACAGGCCACGCCCAAGTTGTTAAGACATGTGGCAATGTCGGGATGTTCGGTGTTCTCTCCATATATACTCTGCCTCATCTTTAGTGACTGTTCATGATAGCTGACGGCCTTTCTGTAATCACCAAGGTCGTTATAGGCCGAGCCCAAGTTTTTAAGTGAATCGGCAAAGACAGGATGTTCGGTGTTCTCCCCATAGATACTCTGCTTCATCTCTAGTGACTGTTCAAAATAGCTGACAGCTTTTCTGTAATCACCCAGGCCGGTACAGGCCACGCCCAAGTTGTTAAAACATGTGGCAATGTCAGGATGTTCGATATTCTCCCCATAGATGGCCTTCATCATCTTTAGTGACCCTTGAAGATAACTGATGGCCTTTCTGTAATCACCGAGTTTGTTACAGGTATTGCCCAAGTTGTGAAGTGAGTAGGAAATGGCAGGATGTTCGGTGTTCTCCCCATAAATACTCTGCTGCATCTGTAGTGACTGTTCATAATAGGTGACGGCCTTTCTGTAATTACCGAGATTGCTAAAGGTCACGCCCAAATTAGTAAGAGATGTGGCAATGTCAGGATGTTCAGTATTATCCCCATAGATACTCCACCTCATCTGTAGTGACTGTTCATGGTAGATGACAGCTTTTCTGTAATCACCGAGTTTGCTACAAGCCGCGCCCAAGTTGTTAAGTGAGTCGGCAATGTCACCATGTTCAGTGTTCTCCCCATAGATAGCCTTCATCATCTGTAGTGACTGTTCAAGATAACTGACGGAGTTTTTGTAATCACCGAGTTCGCTACAGGCCGCGCCCAAGTTGGCAAGTAAACTTGCAATGTCAATTTTGACAGTGTTCTCGCCATAGATACTCTGCTTCATCTTTAGTGACTGTTTATAATACCTGACGGCTTTCCTGTGATCACCAAGTTCGGACCAGGCCTCACCAAGGTTGTTAAGTGACCCAGCAATGTAAGGATGTGGATTCCCTTCACCATATCTGGATATATAACTCTGCAGTGCCTGTTCTGCATATGTCTTACAGTTTTCATAATCACACAGACTTCTGTATACCTCTGCTTTTACGCTGGAAGAGTCGTCAAATAGAATTGATGATTCCTCTGATGAATGCCCGTCGGCAAGCTGTGAAATCAGACGCTTTGTTGGCCTTTCTGTGCAATAGTATCTCATAAGCTGTTTGGTATTTGAAAAGTAAAACACTTTCTTTAATGTCTCCCCAATATGTGTGTCTGGCGATATTGGTGACAAGGCTGACATGCTTTCCACCTGACCTCCATTGCTTATGTATGTCCGCAGCCTCAGTTCTGCTGAGATGCTCACCATCACCATCAAGTGATGTGTGTTTTCACAACTGACGGTACCAGTCTTGTTTAGATGCTGAATAGTCTCCCAGATTGTGGTCGGTTGTATTTTACGGAGTAGCGCCAAACAAGACACTGCAAGACTTGAAAATCGATACATTTCCTTTTTGACATCCATCAACCTACCGGGTTTCACATCGTTCTGAAACATCCGTACATTTTCACTAAGATGTGTTAGTGCTTCATGTAATAGGCAAGGAATTACCCCTCCGTGATTTTCTTGCAGTTTCTGAGTCCAAAGAGCGATATACACATCAACCAGCTCCTGTTCTCCCGTGATTAAACACACATTCCCCAATATGCTAGCAAGGTGGTATCCTTTCTTCAAATGAAACCTAAGGTCATCTTCTAAAACTTTGGTCATCTCCCTTGGTGTGCGAATGAGTTCACTTGTAGATGTGCTGTTTCTTCCTCTACCTAGAGGAGTCTTGCTTGCATGTGGCATGGAGCCATCAAACGCAAACCCGCGTGGTGTTACGGAGTCATAGAACCAGTTGTCTACAGGGTCTTTTGAATAGAAATCATTAAGCGACTTAATCCCCATGGCTGGGAGAATGGTTTCACCCAGATTGATGACTTTGAGATGCAGATAATGAGTGAGGTTGCGGAAATATCTGACATTACTTTCTTTTTCCTCTTCAACTAAAATGGCAAACTCTAGATCAGAGTATGGTGTTACCAATCCTGTGGCTTGTGAACCCATGCCTATCATGGCGTACTTACAGGGAGGGGGGCCCATTAACTCCATACATTCATCTACAAGGCCAGCTATGAACATTTTTCGCTGGTGGACAATCGTGTCAAACAATGTCCTGATTTCATCTGCCCTCCTTTTCTCTACTTCCCTTATCTTTGGGTCGTCATCAGCAAGACTGTAAGGATCTACCTCTTGCTCAATTCTTTTGATCTCTTCTTTTACAAAGTCTCTATGTTCATCTAACTTTAACTTGTGTTTCTCTGCATCACCAGCGTCTACCTTTTGATCAATATTCAGAACATGTTTAAGAAATGATCGACTTATTTCCTGGATAGCTTCCTTAATGTCTTCCCTCCTACATCTTACCAGTGCTGCATTACAGAGTGCTGCAGCCTTGGTGAAGTCTCCCCCGTCTTTAGACTGGATTCCTCTCTTCAGGTAGACGTCGCCTAACTTGTAGAGGGGCTCTGCTTCTTTGATGTGTTGGTCAGATTTTGAAACTGTAGAGAATAAAATTCACAATGTTTAGAATATATTGTGCTTTTGATGCAGTTTAACGATGATATTGCACTCTATGCGCTCTATAGCAACAAGATTGATGTGGACCATTGCATTACTAATTTTGCACAGCTTTAGCACATTTATAAGATGGTTCATATTATACTTAAGAGACTTTTAACCCTTAAGATCTGAGACTCACACTTGAAATGTACAGATTTGAGTGCAGCTGCGAAGTGTTGTTCTGCCGTGTCCAGGTCTCCTGTCTGCAGGGCCCTGCAGCCCTCCTGTAGGTGGTCTTGGTATGAGCTGTAACAAAGAGATTACATATAAATTATATCTAAGTACCTCTACCTCAAGAAGTAGATACCACTGTCAAAATATTCTAGACAGTAACGTAGTCTATAAATGCTTACATACAGGCAGGCAGTTACAAGTAACTTTTTCTTAAATCAACGTTGACCATCGGGGCTTCCCTACCTTTCATTGAGTACCTCTTGACGTGGATGGCTGCCCTGAGTAGCATCAGGAAATTTGTTGTTCCCAAACTGACGCCTCGTAGGTGATCTTCTTCCTCTTTTTCTTGATTTGTTTGATGATGATTGCTGAAATATCAAAGAAATTGTACCTTTTCCATTGTTATAATCTTAGGTACAAATATCGTAACTGCAGTGTTCATTGTACACTCATTGCAAGGTACAAACAAATCGTTTTACATGTCTACATTGGACTCATCGCAACTACGCTTGTCAAATTACCAACGTAATATTGATGTCCTCAATTGACTTGGTGAAATGTTGTTCACTGCTTTTCTGTAATGTGGGTGTTCTGGTCCGGGTCACATAGTGTTGGATGGCCTGTAGTCGTGAGAAAAGTCTTTACATGTTGTGGGACGGTCAGTCATCAAATTAAGCAAATATACTCACCCTTCTAGCTCTTACTGTTCCCCAGATCTTCACCGTGTACAAGACACGATGGTGCAGAGTCTGTTTTGTCTCCGGATCGTCACATCTGGTCAGGGCCTTGTCGTAACTGGCAGCCGCCTTGGATAACTTGCATGGTCCATTTGTTGTCTTGCCTTTCTCAAGGTAGAAATCTCCTAGAGATTTGAGAACCTCAACCTCCAAGAACGTGTCACCCTTCCCGATTGCAGTCACTAATGTTTCTGTGTAGGACTCCTCAACAGACTGCCAGAGCCTACCGACTCCTCTATCTAATTTGTTGCAAATTTCTGCCACCCTTAAGACATTACTGTCAGCAGTGCCCCAGTAGTCTGGTGACAACCACTGATACTGTGGAGTGTACCCCTGCAGCAGTTGTCTGGAGAGTTTCTCCATGTAGTCAATTCGATGACTAAGTGTTTGTCCCATGTCTGGATCTGTGCAACGCAGAAAGGCAGCAGCATACAGTGCAGCAGCCTTGTCAAACTCTACCAAATCTTTACAAAGCTTGCCTTTATGAAGATGCAGGTCTCCAAGACTTTTTAGAACTTCTAACTCCATGAAGAGATCCATGGAAAGAATGGCTTCTCTCAGAGCCCGACCATACCCGATTTCGCGACTATGCTGACTCTTGAGGCACAACTCCAAGTTCTGCAACTTGTCTGCCAGGCTGGTCATGTTGTCAGCCATTTTCCTTCTCGATTTCTGCTCCAATGGGACCTTTAGAGAGTGGATAAACAACTTGTCAATTTGAACATGTCTGAAATATGGTATTCATGGATAGCCAGGATTTACATGACTATATTGGTATATGTACAATACGCTTCAACTTGGTTTTATTACCAACCTGTGGCTAAATTCCAAGGGATACATAAAATGACTCCACTGCGTAGATCTTATGGAACGTTCTTATAGCCTGGGTGCCATCCTCCGTAGTTTTCTAATGTCGCTAACTGCCAGGATAACGTTCTGGGACATAGGACGTTAATCTGGAGGTCCACTTGTTTGAGGAGAACCCGCCTTGATCATGTTAAAGATTCCGTCGCACTTGTTGTAAGGAGTAGGGGTCCTTCCCGGTGTGAGTGTTTGGTCTTACGCAGCCTGTACTTACACTAAGTGACACCTTTGTGCTACGCCTAAGTCTTGTTTACCGCGTACCGGTCATGCGAAACAAACACCTATTCACGGACATACCTTACCTGCCACTCCCATGCCACCAACCCCACTAGCACGTACAGTTGTTTCCGTAGTTACAGTTCTTTGTCCGATCTACGTACCAACACAAAGTATCCCTTCAACAATGGCCTTCAGAAATTGTTGTTGTTGTTGGGTTTGTTACATAATCCTCGTATCGAAAACAGTCTTATGATACGATTGACACAGTTGTAGTACTTAACAGCTGTTATTGTTTCAGCATAAACATGTACTGTACATGTGTTATATACTTCAGTCTTATCGAGTTGTCCTCGGTACTGTTAACGTTATATGACCTTATGGTCTTTTTTAATTGATCGGATGGAAACCCTTTCTCCACCTTCCATCAGGCTACATGTGACAGGTACAACTTAACACAACTGTATATATGGAACGGGTTACTTACTGCAAGTCTTAACCGGTCCACCTTGTCCTTGGAACTGCTGAGGGTGAATAGTGGTGTTGATCGTGTGGAAACTCTGAGGCTACAATTGTACATGTACCTGCACAGGTACAAATGAGTAAGTAACGGTCCCACCTCGCGACTGGTGCAAGTGAAAGTGGAAGTCCCCAGGTGAGGTCACACCTGTAGTACCGCGCGGGGCCGTCTGGGAACGGGGATTCCCCATTGCAAGGGCGACTCATGCATCTCGACAACCCGGATCGTCGTATTAACACCCTCCATTACTAGCCTCCTGTGCAGGCCTCCGGGCGGGTGAGAGTTTTGATACTGCGTTTTGTAGAATTTTAACACGTTCTTTTGCCGGCCACCTTACAATCAGCCACCTAGAAAAGGTTTTGTACCTGCCACGGGCGGCTGGTTGTAGGATGTCCGGCAAAAAACGCGTTAGAATTTCTACAAAACGCAGTATCAAAACTCCCACCCGCCCGTAGGCCTAGACAGGAGGCTACTCTCTCTCGTTCATTCCCACCTGACCAATCCAAGAGCCACTTTTTAGACCAAGGAATGTGAAATGTGATTAGGTCTTTAGAAAGACATTGGATATTTGAGTAAAGGTTCTTTTCTCACACACCAAAAAAAAAAAAGAATCCACACAAGAACTTTGTAGACCAACGGCCAAATAATTTATTGTGATAATTGCCGTCTGTAAAAAGAACACTTTTTTCCTACAGAAAGTTTCTCTCTTCATTTTTCCCTCTAAGAATACACTACTGATTTTCTGTGCTACAACGTATCTACTTCTGTCTCTACTTTCTCACCAACCCTTTGGACTCTGGAATCACAAAAAAATCAGGACATTTCAGGAGGCAAATCATCTAAAATCACTCTAAAGTACGACCGAATCTCCTCCTCTGGGAGTTTACCGCAATCTGGAATGAGCGGCCTAAAATGGCCGTGAACATGGGAGAATGGTCTTCATAATGAGAACATCTACAAATGGTTTCTGTGCAATGAAGAGTGCTGTTAAACATACGATTCAGTCCTGAATGGCATGAAACAATGTGGCTATGCCATGTTAATTCAAACACCAGTTAAACCATACATTTGTCGTTGTAACGAAACGGAACAATAACGTACATAATCAATGACTAAGTCATCATATCCAAGGTTCATGCATGTTACATACGTGGTTCATACATGAAAAAAGGACATGGTTTCAGCTAAAAGATCACAACCATGCATGAACATATCACAACCTTAACAAGAACATAATCCAACCATATCAAGTAGGAAGTACACAACGTTTCGTCATATCTATGTTTCAGAGATGATTCTGCCGATGCAGCATTTTTTCTCTCCTTTTTGGTGTGTATGTACAAATTGAATGGCAGGCAAAATTCTAGTAACCGATGGACGTTATATTTATACTCCTCTATAACAAAGCTATAACCTAAAATTACCATCTCATCCATTCATGTAAACACACTATTTACTAATACACATAAATGTCTTCATAATTATACTTATCTGTTGTTCTACTATCTAACATTTTCCAGTTACAGCACTTACAAGCAGCTCCCTCATCATTCACATATGCAGTATATGTAGATCTATACACGCAATATAAATGTATGTGATATACTCAACAGTTATCTCTATAATAGAGAGACGGGTTCACAACAATGTATGAAGCTATGATAAACAATTGTAGTCTTTACTGTAAAGATTACAATAAAGTAAAGTTTACAAGAATCGCTCACTTGACAACCGATTAATGGAAATACACGCCAAGACACAGGGACCATCGCATGATCTTTCACTATATATATGCCATACACACATCTGATAACATGTAGGGTATAACAAGATGTTGGCACCATATTCTCATCTCAGTGGATATAGAGAGGGTGTATTTATCACTATCATTATCTTTATTGGGCAACATAGAAACAAGACGCATTGGTGGGCAACTCCAGCAGGAAAGAAAGGTATATACAACCTGTCTCCAAGTCATTTTACAAACAACAGCTTCTTTCCCCGGACTGCAAAATTATGGAACTCTCTTCCAAACAGTTGCTTTCCGTCCGACTACAATCCACAAATCTTCAAAACAAAGGTCCACCGCCATCTCCTGACATAGCTACATTATACTCACTTAAGTACCTCTAGCTCTATGCCTAGAAGTGGCCAAAAATAATTGGCCTTGCATTGAGCGACACCGTTAAAAAATACAATGGTAAAATAATGATATATAATAATAACAAAACAACAAGTAAAAGCAGCAACTAACGGATCAATAAATGCTCAATAAAAACAATAAGATGTAAAAGTAAGATCATAATGTTTTGAAAACGAATTGTTTTCCGTAGGCAGTTGCACACATTTCGACAAGTGTAAACCTTTTTGAGTGAACAATTGTACATATGATTGAATTATTATATGTCTGTTGTTTCCGGGCTCAGTATCATTGTCAATTCAAAATGCAGTGTCTGTTTGGGCAATTGCCTTTTCATGGTCATTGGAATATCGTTAGGTTCCAACAGTGTCAGATTGTGCTTTATTTCTTTCTGAGATAATCTGCCTCATCCTCTTTGCCTGATCACGATAGGTGTCAGCCTTTCTGTGATCACCAAGGTAGCCCCAAGTAACAGCCAAGTTGTTTAATGACATTACAATGTCAGGATGTGCATTGCTCTCCCCATAGATACTCTGCTTCATCTGTAGTGACTGTTCAAAATAGCTGATGGCGTTTTTGTGATCTCCAAGGTTGCTACAAGCCATGCCCAAGTTATTAAGTGAGTGGGCAATGTCCGGATGTTCGGTGTTCTCCCCATAGATACTCCGCCTCATCTGCAGTGACTGTTCATAGTAGCTGAAGGCCTTTTTGTAATCACTAAGTTCGCTAAAGGCCGCGCCCAAGTTATTAAGTGAGTCGGCAATGTCAGGATGTTCGGTGTTCTTCCCATAGATATTCCACCTCATCTGTAGTGACTGTTCATAATAGCTGACGGCCTTTCTGTAATCACCGAGTTCGCTACAGGCCGCGCCCAAGTTGTTAAGTGATGCGGCAATGTCAGGATGTTCGGTGTTCTCCCCATAGATACTCCACCTCATCTGTAGTGACTGTTCATAATAGCTGACGGCCTTTCTGTAATCACCGAGTTCGCTACAGGCCGCGCCCAAGTTGTTAAGTGATGCGGCAATGTCAGGATGTTCGGTGTTCTCTCCATAGATATTCCACCTCATCTGTAGTGACTGTTCATGATAGCTGACAGCCTTTTTGTAATCACAAAGTCCCATACAGGCCGTGCCCAAGTTACCAAGTGATGTGGCAATGACAGGATGTTCGGTGTTCTCCCCATAGATACCCCACTTCATCTTTAGTGACTTTTCATAATAGCTGACGGCATTTCTGTAATCGCCGAGTTCACTACAGGCACTGCCCAAGTTGTTAAGTGTTGTGGCGATGTCAGGGTGTTCGGTGTTCTCCCCATAGATACTCTGCCACATCAGTAGTGACTGTTCATGATAGCTAACGGCCTCTCTGTAATCACCAAGTTCCCTACAGGCCTCGCCCAAGTCACTAAGTGTGTCGGCAATGTCAGGATGTTCGGTGTTCTCCCCATATTTATTCTTCATCATCTGTAGTGACTGTTCAAAATAACTGACGGCCTTTCTGTGATCACCGAGTTTACTACAGGCCGCGCCCAAGTTGAGAAGTGAGTAGGCAATGTCAATTTGGTCAGTGTTCTCCCCATAGATACTCTGCTTCATCTTTAGTGACTGTTTATAATAACTGGCGGCTTTTCTTTTATCACCAAGACTGTCCCAGGCCTCTCCAAGGTTGGTAAGAGACGCAGCAATGTCTAAATGTGGATTCCCTTCACCATATCTAGATATATCACTCTGTAGTGCCTGTTCTGCACATGTCTTAAAGTTTTCATAATCACACAGACTTCTGTACACCTCTGCTTTTACGCTGGAAGAGTCGTCAAATAGAATTGATGATTCCTCTGTTGAATGACCGTTGACAAGCTGTGAAATAAAGTGTTTTGTTGGCCTTTCTGTGTAATAGTATCTCATGAGTTGTTTTGCATTTGAAAAGTAAAACACTTTCTTTAATGTCTTCCCAATGTCTGTGTCTGTCGACATTGATGACAAGGCTGACATGATTTCCACCTGGCCTCCATTACTCATGTATGTCCTCAGCCTCAGTTCTGCTGAGATGCTCACCATCACCATCAAGTGGTGTGCGTTCTCACAACTGATGGCGCCAGTCTTGTTGAGGTTCTCAATAGTCTCCCAGATTGTGGTCGGTTGTATGTTACGGAGTAGCGCCAAACAAGACACTGCAAGACTTGAAAATCGATACATTTCCTTCTTGACATCCATTAACCTACCGGGTTTCACATAGTTCTCAAACATTGTTGCGTTTTCCCTTAGATCAATTAGGGCTAAGAAGAAAGGTATTATCCCTCCGTGATTTTCTTGCAGTTTCTGAGTCCATAGAGCGATATATACATCAACCAGCTCCTGTTCTCCTGTGATTAAACACACATTCCCCAATATGCTAGCAAGGTGGTATCCTTTCTTTAAATGAAAAGTAAAGTCTTTTTCTAGAACTTTGGTCATCTCCCTTGGTGCGCGAATGAGCTCACTTGTCGATGTTTCGTTTCTTCCTCTGCCTAGAGGAGTCTTGCAGGCGTGTGGCATGGAGCCATCAAACGCAAACCCACGTGGTGTTACAGAGTCATAGAACCAGTTGTCTACAGGGTCTTTTGAGTAGAAATCATTAAGCGACTTAATCCCCATGGCTGGGAGAATGGTTTCACCCAAATTGATAACTTTGAGATGCAGATAATGAGTGAGGTTTCGGAAATACCTGACATTGCTTTCTTTTTCCTCTTCAACTAAAATGGCAAACTCTAGATCAGAGTATGGTGTTACCAATCCTGTGGCTTGTGAACCCAGGCCTATCATGGCGTACTTACAGGGAGGGGGGCCCATTACTTTCATACATTCATCTACAAGGCCAGCTACGAACATTTTTCGCTGGAGGGCAATCGTGTCAAACAATGCCTTGATTTCATCTGCCCTCCTTTTCTCTACTTCCCTTATCTTTGGGTCGTCATCGGCAAGACTGTAAGGATCTACCTCTTGCTGAATTCTTTTGATCTCTTCTTTTACAACGTCTCTCTGTTCCTCTAACTTCAACCTATGATCCTCTGCATCACCAATGTCTACATTTTGTTCAATATTCAGAACATGCTTAAGAAATGATCGACTTATTTCCTGGATAGCTGCCTTAATGTCTTCCTTCCTACATCTTACCAGTGCTGCATAACAGAGTGCTGCAGCCTTGGTGAAGTCTCCTCCGTCTTTAGACTGGATTCCTTTCTTCAGGTAGACGTCGCCTAACTTGTAGAGGGGCTCTGCTTCTTTGATGTGTTGCTCAGACTTTGAATCTGTCGAGAACAAAATTCAGAACGGCTATCAATTTCAATGTTCTCTTTCACTGTTGGATGATTTTAAGTATTCTAACGTTTGCTTGTGATAGTTACGTTTAGCGAAAGAAAACAAATTGTTTTTGCTCTGTTTCCTCTTCTTCCGTTCCAAACACTGACCTGGTCAACGACCTGAAGTAGACCTCTGTTACCATGGTAAGGGTTTTGGGTTACATAATGTTGCAATTTCATAGTAGGAGGGATTAAGACTCCTTTCACCTTATATGTGAATGTATTCAAGTAGGAATTAACAGAGCAGACCATATGCGAAGGTAAACATTATGCATTTGCTTTTCAAATGTTACCTTTCTGGTTGTAATATATTGTATCTTTTGATGAAAACACCTATTGACATTTCGGTGATTACATTCGTATCATCATAAACCACATGTCCGCCTAACTACCCCTACAGCAATAAGAATTAGCATTGCATTTAATAAGTGTGAAAAACGTTAGTTAAGTTAATACCAGGCCGTTTTACTACGAGAGACTTGAATCCTTTAGATTAACCCTTAAGATCTGAGACTCACATTTGACATGTACAGATTTAAGTGCAGCTGCGAAGTGTTGTTCTGCCGTGTCCAGTTCTCCTGTCTGCAGGGCCATGCAGCCCTCACGTAGGTGGTCTTGGTATGAGCTGCAACAAAAGGATGACATACATATCATCTGTCAACCAAAACATTTTTTTTTTCATTTGATAATTAAAAGTAAATTACTTCTTCAAGTGTGCAGTTAAATTCTGTACCTGCAAGCCAAAGAGTAAAAACCGCTCTTTTACCACTTTACAAACCCTCTGTGTTGGTAGTCAAAATATTATAGACAGTACCTCAATAAATGCTTATATACACTATACAGGCAGGCAGTTAGATGCAGCTTTTTCTTAAATCAACGTTGACCTCCCCTACCTTTCAACGTGTGCGTCTGGACTTGGATGGTTGCCCGGAGTAACATCACGTCTTTGTCTTTTGATTTTCCGAAACTCATGCCGTGTGGGTGATCTTCTTCCTCTTCCTCCTTTTCTTGATTTGTTTGATGATGTTTGCTGAAATGTTAAGGAATTGTACTTTTACCATTGTCATAATCTTAGGTACAAATACACTGCAGTGTTCATTGTACACTCGTTGCAAGGCGCAAAGGTACTTAATGAGTGTTCCGGCTCAAGTCACATACTATTGGATAGCCTGTAGTCGCGAGAAAAGTCTTTGTATATTGTGGGCAGTGTCAGTCATCAAATCAAGCAAAATTACTCACCCTTCTAGCTCTCACTACTCCCCAGATCTTCACCATGTACAAGACACGATGCTGCAGAGTCTGTTTCATCTGCGGATCCTCACATCTGACCAGGGCCTTGCCGTACATGGCAGCCGCCTTGGAGAACTGGGATAGTTTGGAGGTTTTCCTGCCTTTCTCAAGGTAGAAATCTCCTAGAGATTTGAGAACCTCAACCTCCAAGAACACGTCACCCTTGCCGATTGCAGTCACTAATGTTTCTGTGTAGGACTCCTCAAAAGATTGCCAGAGTTTACCTACTCCTCTGGTTCGTTTGTTGAAAGTTTCTGACACCCTTAAGACATTACTGTCAGCAGTGCCCCAGTAGTCTGGTGACAACCACTGATACTGTGGACTGTACCCCTGCAGTAGTTGTCTGGAGAGTTTCTCCATGTAGCCGATACGATGTTCCAGCGTTTCTCCCATGCCTGGATCTTTGCAGCGCAGTAAGGCAGCAGCATACAGGGCAGCAGCCTTGTCAAACTCTGCCGAATCCTTTCTTTGCGTGCCTTTCTGAAGATGCAGGTCTCCCAGACTTTTTAGGACTTCTAACTCCATGAAGAGATCCATGGAAAGAATGGCTTCTCTCAGTGCCCGCGCATAGCCGACTTTGTGACTATGCTGACTCTTGAGGCACAACTCCAAGTCCTGCAACTTGTCTGCCAGGCTGGTCATACTTTCAGGCATTTTCCTCCTTGATTTTTTTCTCCAACGATCGACCTATATAGAGAGAAGAAAACTATCTGTCAATATGGTTATTTTGTCACAATATCTGTGCTTTGATCACGCTAGAAGCAGTATCTCCATGACTCGATAGATATATGTAGCCCTTTCATAGACCTCAACAATTTGATTTTGATATAAATTGGTGGCTAATTTCCAAGGGAGAGGTAAAATCAACCCTTGATCTTGATCATATTTGTGGGAAGTCCTGGCAGCAGTCTGGTACGTCATCAGATGATTCCCTGGAAGGGGAATTCCATGACGAGTGAAAGTCCCCTGATGACGTAACAGTTTCGGACCTGGTGCGTCATACCGGACCTGAATACACAGTTTCCATTCCTACTCCTCCACACACACACACACACAAAAACACACACACGCACACACAGGCACACACACAACACACACACAAACACACACACACGCACACACAGGCACACACAACACACACACACACACACACACACACACGCACACACAGGCACACACACAACACACACACACACACACACACTACACTACCGTAACACACGATTCATTATAAACCGTCATCGATTCATAATAGGTTAAACGTAGTTGTAGTACGGTACCTACTAAGCCGTTCCTGTTTAACATAAACACTACAACTGTACGTATGTGACGGGTTACTTACTGCGATTCTTAACGGTCCACCTTGTGCTTGGCACTGCTGAGGGTGAGAAATAATGCTGCTGGTCGTGTGAAAACTCTTTAACGGCTACATGTTGTACCGATCGGTTGGTAGAACGGAGCAGGTAACTAGTACAGGTGAAACCGGAAGTCCCCAGGTGAGGTCACACCTGTCGTACCGCGCGGGGCCGTCTGGGAACGGGGATTCCCCATTGCAAGGGCGACTCATGCACTAGTACATCTCGACAACTCGGATCGTCGTATTAACACCCTCTCTTACTAGCCTCCTGTGCAGGCCTCCGGGCGGGTGAGAGTTTTGATACTGCGTTTTGTAAAATTTTAACACGTTCTTTTGCCGGCCACCTTACAATCAGCCACCTAGAGAAGGTTTTGTATCCGCCACGGGTGGCTGGTTGTAGGATGACCGGCAAAAACGTTAGAAGTTTTACAAAACGCAGTATCAAAACTCCCATCCGCCCGGAGGCCTGCACAGGAGGCTACTCTCTTTCGTATCATCCATGTCTGACCTATCCAAGAGCCACTTTTTAGACCAAGGAATTTGTGACCTGCGATTAGGTCTTTAGAGAGACCTTGGATTTTTGAGTAAAGGTTCTTTTCTCACACACACACACACACACAAAAAGAATCCACACGAACATTGTAGACCAACGGCCAAATAATTTATTGTGATAATTGTCGTCTGTAAAAAGAACACTTTTTTTCCTACAGAAAGTTTTTCTCTTCATTTTTCCCTCTAAGAATACACTACTGATTTTCTGTGCTACAACGTATCTACTTCTGTCTCTACTTTCTCACCAACCCTTTGGACTCTGGAATCACAAAAAAATCATCTAAAATCACTCTAAAGTACGACCGAATCTCCTCCTCTGGGAGTTTACCGCAGTCTGGAATGAGCGACCTAAAATGGCCGTGAACATGGGAGAATGGTCTTCATGCCTTGCAATAATGAGAACATCTACAAATGGTTTCTGTGCAATGAAGAGTGCTGTTAAACATATGATTCAGTCCTGAATGGCATGAAACAATGTGGCTATGCCATGTTAATTCAAACACCAGTTAAATCATACATTTGTCGTTGTAACGAAACAAGGAACAATAACGTACATAATCCATGACTAAGTCATCAAATCATCCAAGGTTCATGCATGTTACATACGTGATTCATACATGAAAAAAACACATGGTTTCACCTAAAAGATCACAACCATGCATGAACATATCACAACCTGAACAAGAACATAATCCGACCATATCAAGTAGGAAGTACACAACGTTTCGTCATATCTATGTTTCAGAGATGATTCTGCCGATGCAGCATTTTTTATCCTCTCCTTTCTGGCGTCTATGTACAACTTAGAAAGTGTGGATGAAGTCAGATGAAGCCACATTGAATGACAGGCACAATTCTAGTAACCGATGGTTCTCTGGATTAAAGTTATCGGTAGAAGAATATCTCTATGTACAAAATCAACCATACCAAAGTATAAGTCAAGTCGACTCTTGGTTATACAGGTCAAGATGTCATCATCAAATGTGACAGAAGCATATACTAGTATATTACCAACAACAAAGTATATGACGTTTTCAAGTGTTAAGTTGTTCCTAGTAGTCTACTGGAAGGCAACTGTATCGCAGCTTCGTACCAGATCCTGAGAAATTTCTGTCCGTATGTGCCATTAGTGACAATGGTGAGGGTGTGTTTGGGCATCTTTACATAGAAGTTACAGTATTATGACAGATACTTAAAGTGCTGTTTAAAGTGTGTAAAGGTACAAGTTGAGGAAAGTGAGTACAGCCTGTGTCTTGTTTGTATATAAGTGAATAAAACATTCAGATACAGAACAAACAAAATCTCAAGAATTAATTATTTCCAGACTTGTATTTCCTTGCTATCGCTAGATTCAATTGGGTGTATAATTTTTTGTATGTATAACATTTCAGAAGCTGGGAAAAGCCTACCTACCCCTATAGGTATGCTCCATATACATGTATCTTATTCTAAAGCTTACAGGAGAAACTAGTACCAATACTACTGTAACAGTATATCAGCCATTCATGCAAACAAACTTCTTGATAATGCACAAAAATGTCTACATAATGGTAACATATCTTTGTAAAACATAATATACATGCTGTTCCTCTATGTAGCATTTTTCAGTTACAGTACCAAACAACTCACTCATTGACGTACAATGTATATGATATACTCAACAGTTGTCTCTATAATTGAAGCACTAAACCACAACCATGTATTAAGTCATCATGATCAAAATTTTACTACTATATGTATATGTACAAAAATTGCTCTTAAGAGCAGTTTGATGGAAATACAATTGTCATGATGCAGTAAGAAATGGCATAAAAATGCCTCAATATGCCACACACACATAGACAACTGTATCTGATAACATGCGGTACCATGTGGGGTATATATATATCGGATATTGGCACCATATTTTGATCTAGAGGAGGGCGATCTATCACTCATTTCAGTTTCAAAAAATGCATCGTTGGTTTAGACCAACAATTGCCTTTTCATGGTCTTTGAAATATTCTTAGGTTTCACCAGAATCAGCCAGTGTGAGATTGTACTTTTTTTCGTTCTTGGATAATCTGTCTCATTCTCCTTGCCTGATCACGATAGTTGTCAGCCTTTCTGTGATCACCAAGGGTGTCCAAAGTAACAGCCAAGTTGTTAAGTGACATTACAAATTGAGGATCTGCATACCTCTCCCCATAGATGCTCTGTATCATCTGTAGTGACTGTTCAAGATAGATAATGGCTTTTCTGTAATCACCGAGATTGCCATAGGCTGCTCCTAAGTTGTAAAGTGAGTTCGAAATGTCAGGATGTTCGGTGTTCTTCCCATAGATACTCTGTCTTATCTGTAGGGACTGTTCATAATAGCTGACGGCCTTTCTGTAGTCCCCAAGGTTGTTACAGGCCGTGCCCAAGTTATTAAGTGAGTCGGCAATGTCAGGATGTGCATTGCTCTCCCCATAGATACTCTGCCTCATTTGTAGTGACTGTTCAAAATAGCTGACGGCCTTTCTGTAGTCCCCAAGGTTGTTACAGGCCATGCCCAAGTTATTAAGTGAGTGGGCAATGTCCGGATGTTCTGTGTTCTCCCCATAGATACTCCCCCTCATCTGAAGGGACTGTTCAAAATTGCTGATGGCTTTTCTATAATCACCGAGACCGCTACAGGCCACGCCCAGGTTGTTAAGTGATCCAGCAATATCAGGATGTTTGGTGTTCTTTCCATAGATACTCTGCTGCATCTGTAGTGACTGTTCATAATACCTGATGGCGTTTTTGTGATCTCCAAGTCCCATACAGGCATTGCCCAAGTTGTTAAGGGATGTGGCAATGTCAGGATGTTCGGTATTCTCGCCATAGATACTCTGCATCATCTGTAGTGACTGTTCATAATAGCTGACGGCCTTTCTGTAATCACCAAGGTCGCTACAGGCCTCGCCCAAGTTGTTAAGTGATCTGGCAATGTCTGGATGTTCGGCGTTCTCGCCATAGATAGTCTTCACCATCCGTAGTGACTGTTCAAGATAACTGACGGCCTTTTTGTAATCACGGAGTTTGCTACAGGCCACACCCAAGTTGTTAAGTGATCCTGCAATGTCAGGATGTTGGGTGTTCTGCCCATATATACTCTGCTCCATCTTTAGTGACTGTTTATAATAATTGGCGGCTTTTCTAAGATCACCAAGTTTGTACCAGGCATGACCAAGGTTGTTAAGAGACGCAGCAATGTCTGAATGTGGATTCCCTTCACCATATCTAGATCTATCACTCCGTAGCGCTTGTTCTGCACATGTCTTATAGTTTTCATAATCACACAGACTTTTGTACAACACTGCTTTTACGCGGAAAGAGTCATCAAATAGAATTGATGGTTCCTCTGTTGAATGACCAATGGCAAGCTGTGAAATTAAGTGCTTTGTTGGCCTTTCTGTGTAATAGTATCTCATGAGCTGTTTGGAATTTGAATAGTAAAACACTTTCTTTAATGTCTCCACTATGTCTGTATCTGTCGACACTGATGACAAGACTGACATGCCTTCCAACTGGCCTCCATTACTCATGTATGTCCGCAGCCTCAGTTCTGCTGAGATGCTCACCATCACCATTAAGTGGTGTGCGTTCTCACAACTGATGGCGCCAGTCTTGTTGAGGTTCTCAATAGTCTTCCAGATTGTGGTCGGTTGTATGTTATGAAGTAGCGCCAAACAAGACACTGCAAGACTTGAAAATCGATACATTTCCCTTTTTACATTCATCAACGTGTCAGTTTTAACTTCTATTTTAAAGATAGGTGCATTTTCACTAAGATCTGTTTGTACTAGTAAAGGAATCGTCCCACGGTGATTTTCTTGCAGTTGCTGAGTCCATAGAGCGATATATACATCAACCAACTCCTGTTCTCCTGTGATTAAACATACATTCCCCAATATGCTAGCAAGGTGGTATCCTTTCTTCAAATGAAAGGTAAGGTCTTCTTCTAAAACTTTGGTCATCTCCCCTGGTGTGCGAATGAGTTCACTTGTAGATGTGCTGTTTCTTCCTCTACCTAGAGGAGTCTTGCAGGCGTGTGGCATGGAGCCATCAAACGCAAACCCGCGCGGTGTTACAGAATCATAGAACCAGTTGTCCAGTGGATCTTTTGAGTACAAATCATTGAGCGACTTAATCCCCATGGCTGGGAGAATGGTTTCACCCAAATTGATGACTTTGAGATGCAGATAATGAGTGAGGTTACGGAAATACCTGACATTGCTTTCTTTTTCCTCTTCAACTAAAATGGCAAACTCCAGATCAGAGTATGGTGTTACCAATCCTGTGGCTTGTGAACCCATGCCTATCATGGCGTACTTACAGGGAGGGGGGCCCATCACCTCCATACATTCATCTACAAGGCCAGCTATGAACATTTTTCGCTGATCGACAATCGTGTCAAACAATACCCTGATTTCATCTGCTCTCCTTTTCTCTACTTCCCTTATCTTTGGGTCGTCATCAGCAAGACTGTAAGGATCTACCTCTTGCTCAATTCTTTTGATCTCTTCTTTTACAAAATCTCTCTGTTCATCTAACTTCAACCTGTGATTCTCTGCATCACCAATGTCTACATTTTGTTCAATATTCAGAACATGCTTAAGAAATGATCGACTTATTTCCTGTATAGCTTCCTTAATGTCTTCCCTCCCAGATCTTACCAGTGCTGCATTACAGAGTGCTGCAGCCTTGGTGAAGTCTCCCCCGTCTTTAGACTGGATTCCTCTCTTCAGGTAGACGTCGCCTAACTTGTAGAGGGGCTCTGCTTCTTTGATGTGTCGGTCATATTTTGAAACTGTAGTAAGAGAATACAACTCACAATGGTTATCAATTTCAATCTGTGATCGTTGAAATATGTTCTGCTTTTGATGCAGACACACTTTGAGAGTTTGACGATGATACTGCGTTAACAAAAGCACTCTATGGCAACAAGATTGATGCGAATTGCATAATTAATTTTGCAAAGCTTTAGCACAATTATAAGATGGGCCATATTACCACAAGAGACATTTGATAAGATTTCTAAGACTCACATTTGACATGTACAGACTTGAGAGCAGCTGCGAAGTGTTGTTCTGCCGTGTCCAGGTCTTCTGTCTGCAGGGCCCTGCAGCCCTCCTGTAGGTGTTCTTTGTATGAGCTGTAACAAAAGCATTACATTCATATGATCTGTCAACCAGAACATTTTTTTTCATTTGATAATTAAATGTAAGTTACTTCAAGTGCACAGTTAGTGTGTATTGTACCTGCAAGTCAAAGATTAAAAACCACTATTTTACCACAGTTTACAACCCCCTGTGTTGCTTGGTAGTCAAACTATTATAGTCAGTACCTCGATAAATGCTTCAACACACACACACACACACACACACACACACACACACACACACAGGCAGATGCAGCTTTTTTTTCTTAAATCAACGTTGACCATCAGGGCTTCTCTACCTTTCATTGTCTGGACGTGGATGGCTGCCCTGAGTAACATCAGGTCTTTTGATGTTCCCAAACTGATGCCTCGTGGGTGATCTTCTTCCTCTTCCTCTTTTTCTTGATTTGTTTGATGATGATTGCTGAAATATCAAAGAAATCGTACCTTTTCCATTGTTATAATCTTAGGTACAAATATCGTGACTGCAGTGTTCATTGTACACTCGTTGCAAGGCGCAAAGATTGTTGGTACCGTCTACATTAGCCCTATCTCCCTACGCTTGTTGAATTAATATAATAGCAACTTAATATTGATTTCTTCAATTGACTTGGTGAAATGTTCTTCACTGCTTTTCTGTAAATACACATGTACTTAAAGTTCTGGCCCGGGTCACATACTGTTGGATGGCCACTGTAGTCGTGAGAAAAGTCTTTGCATGTTGTGGGCAGTGTCAGTCATCAAATTATTAATATATATTATTAAGCAAACCCACTCACCCTTCTAGCTCTCACTGCTCCCCAGATCTTCACCATGTACAGGACACGATGGTGCAGAGTTTGTTTCGTCTCCGGATCCTCACATCTGACCAGGGCCTTGCCGTACATGGCAGACGCCTCGGAGAACTGGGATAGTTTGGAGGTTTTCCTGCCTTTCTCAAGGTAGAAATCTCCTAGAGATTTGAGAACCTCAACCTCTAAAAACGTATCACCCTTGCCGATTGCAGTCACTAATGTTTCTGTGTAGGACTCCTCAACAGATTGCCAGAGTTTACCCACCCTTTTGTCTAATTTCTTGCAAGTTTCTGCCACCCTTAAGACATTACTGTCAGCAGTACCCCAGCAGTCTGGTGACAACCACTGATACTGTGGACTGTACCCCTGCAGCAGCTGTCTGCAAAGTTTCTCCATGTAGTCAATTCGATGACTAAGTGTTTCTCCCATACCTGGATCTTTGCAGCGCAGAAAGGCAGCAGCATACAGGGCAGCAGCCGTGTCAAACTCTGCTGAATCCTTTCCCTGCTTGCCTTTCTGAAGATGCAGGTCTCCAAGACTTTTTATGACTTCTAACTCCATGAAGAGATCCATGGAAAGAACGGCTTCTCTCAGTGCCCGCCCATACCCGACGTCGGGACTATGGTGACTCATGAGGCACAGCTCCAAGTCCTGCAACTTGCCTGCCAAGCTGGTCATGTTGTCAGACATTTTCCTCGTTGATTATTTCTCCAATGATCGACCTATATATTTTCCTCGTTGATTTCTGCTCCAATGATCGACCTTTAAAGAGAGAAGAAAACAATCTGTCAATATGATTATTCTGTCACATTATCTGTGTTTTGATCACGCTAGAAGCAGTATCTCCATGACTCGATGGATATATGTAGCCCTTTCATAGACGTCAACAACTTGATTTTGATATAAACTGGTGGCTAATTCCCAATGGAAAGGTAAAATAAACCCTTGATCTTGATTTTCTTCATAGCATGTCTTGGCAGCAGTCTGGTACCGGACAGGCTAGCATCTACTCTCCAAGCAGAGGTTGGTGGGGGACGATCGTCACCGTTTTATATATGCCTCGAGCTCGTTTTTTTTTTGTCTGCTTGGAGAGTAGCTAGCATCCACCAGACCTTTCTGTACGGGAATACGGATCGTAGAATTCGGCAAAAAAAGAGAATCAAATGGGTCAAGGGAGTCCGGCCGCAGGGAGGTAGTTTGTTTCCCTCCAAAGGCACAGTCAAACCTACAAGGCGGCCAAACTCCCCTGGCAAATATTCTCCTATATATATAGCCAGCGTAGTTAGTCTGGTAGAGACTATGACAGGCTACCAGAAGCCACGGGAGTTTCACTCGTCATGAAGTTCCCCTTCCAGGGATTCCCCCGATGACGTAACAGTTTCTGACCTGGTACGTCATACCGGACCTGAATACACAGTTTCCATTGTTGGTCCATTGTGGCCGTCTTACTCATAGTATCCATGATAGCAGAGTCATTTTTCTTTACTTTTTAGCACAGTATTAATCTATTTACTACAATTTTCCACAAACAGGGAAGGCATGGTAGAAAAGGTGGACGTAAGGACACCTTTTCAAAGCAACTGTGCCGACAAGGACATACAAGTGCATAAGAATACAATACAATATGATATGATATACATAACATTAAATTATAAGTATCGAGTTACAGAGTAGGCCTTCAGCGCTGGAAGTGTGTGGTGACTATACTCCTCCTCCTCCTCCACACACACATACACACACTCACACACACACACACACACACACACACACACACACACACACACACACACACACACACACACACACACACACACACACACACACACACTCACACACACACACACACACACACACACAGAGAGAGAGCAAAACACAACATTCAGTATAAACCCCTCATATGGAGAAGGATAACAGTCTTCGATTCAAATTAGGCTAAACGCAGTTGTAGTACGGTATCTACTTATCCGTTCCTGTTTAACACAAACACTACAACTTTGCGTATGTGACGGGTTACTTACTGCAATTCTTAACGGTCCACCTTGTCCTTGGCACTGCTGAGGGTAAGGAACATCGGTGCTGGTCGCGTGAAAACTCTTTAACGGCTACATATTGCACCGACCAGTACATATGCAGGTAGAACGCAGCAGGTAACTAGTACAGGTGAAAGCGGAAGTCCCCAGGTGAGGTCACACCTATCGTGCCGCGCAGGGCCGTCTGGGAACGGGGATTCCCCATTGCAAGGGCGACCCATGCATATCGACAACTCGAATCGTCGTTACACCCTGTCCTTTTAGTCTCCACCAGACTTCTTTTGCAGCCTGAATAAATCGTAGAAATCGGCCTAAAAAGGCCCTTTTTACCGTAATTAATTGGCGAGAGAAGGTAGCCGGCCATTGACGATCAAATTGGCCCTGCAAGAAGTCTGTGAGAAGTCGGTACGATGTAAAGGCATAAAAGTAATCCCCTCATCTACGGAACAAGGACAGTAGCTTTAATAGGGGATTACTTTAAATGCCTTTTCTGCGACATCTCACAGACTTCTTGCAGGGCCAATTTGATCGTCGATGGCCGGCTACCTTCTCTCGCCAATTGATACCCTTTTAGGCCAACTTCTACGATTTATTCAACCTGCAAGTCTGGTGGAGACTACTCTCTTTCGTGCATCCGCGCCTGGCCAATCCAAGAGCCACTTTTTAGACCAAGGAATTTGTGACCTGTGATTAGGTTTTTGAGAGACCTTGGACATATGAGTAAATTTTCTCTCTCTCTCTCTCTCTCACACACACAAAAAAAGGAATCCACACGAACATTGTAGACCAACGGCCAAATAATTTATTGTGATAATTGTCGTCTGTAAAAAGAACACTTTTTTTTCCTACAGAAAGTTTCTCTCTTCATTTTCCCTCTAAGAATACACTACTGATTTTCTGTGCTACAACGTATCTACTTCTGTCTCTACTTTCTCACCAACCCTTTGGACTCTGGAATCACAAAAAATCAGGACATTTCAGGAGGCAAATCATCTAAAATCACTCTAAAGTACGACCAAATCTCCTCCTCTGGGAGTTAACCGCAATCTGGAATGAGCGACCTAAAATGGCCGTGAACATGGGAGAATGGTCTTCATGCCTTCATGAGAATAATGAGAACATCTACAAATGGTTTCTGTGCAATGAAGAGTGCTGTTAAACATAAGATTAAGTCCTGAATGGCATGAAACAATGTGGCTATGCCATGTTAATTCAAACACCAGTTAAACCATACATTTGTCGTTGTAACGAAACGGAATAATAACGTACATAATCAATGACTAAGTCATCAAATCATCATCCAAGGTTCATGCATGTTACATACGTGGTTCATACATGAAAAAAATACATGGTTTCACCTAAAAGATCACAACCATGCATGAACATATCACAACCTGAACAAGAACATATTATCCAACCATATCAAGTAGGAAGAAAACAACGTTTCATCATATCTATGTTTCAGAGATGATTCTGCCGATGCAGCATTTTCCCCTCTTCTTTCTGGTGTCTATGTACAACTTAGAAAGTGTGGATGAAGTCAGATGAAGCCACATTGAATGACAGGCACAATTCTAGTAACCGATGGTTCTCTGGTTTAAAGTTGTCGGTAGAAGAATATCTCTATGTACAAAATCAACCATACCAAAGTATAAGTCAGTTCGACTCTTGGTTATACAAGTCAAGATGTCATCATCAAATGTGACAGAAGCATATACTAGTATATTACCAACAACAAAGTATATGACGTTTTCAAGTGTTAAGTTGTTCCTAGTATTCTACTGGAAGGCAACTGTATTACAGCTTCGTACCAGATACATTTGAGAACATGAACAAATGTTAACAACAAAGACACTGAGGACTTTCTGTGCCATTAGTGACAATGGTGAGGGTGAGTTGGGACATGAAGGCAATGTGGCTATGCATAGAACATGAGGTGAGGACATTTTTGTGTAGAATTTTAGCAAGAGAACATCATGACGACAGAATGCTAGGAGGAAAAGTTGTATCTGACTCTGTCCACTCCGTGAAACTGTGTGTACTAAGATACAGACTTTCCTCTCAGTCTCTGTTGTCATGTCAGATATCCCAATCTAGCAGTATCTTTTTTTAAATCCGAGAACCAAAAAACTGAATTGGTATGGCCAAAGCAGAAGAAAAACTGAGTGGAAGCCGAAACAAAAAATATCTCTACATGAAAAGTCCAATGTATAAGTACACCTTAGAGCCATTCAACATAGCATCTTATGTACAGAACAGTAGCACGACTATTAAAGCATCGCCTTGGCAAAATATTTCTTTCAACATGTCAGTGCCAGGCAATGCAGGAATGGTGCAATGAAATGGCAACATGAAGATGAGAACTGGAACAGTATGAAAACGGAGCACACTCGGGAACCTTGTAAATCCTTTCCCAACCTTTGAAGCAAACACGTATGACTTGTCTATATCTGCGCTGCTAAGCCTACTGTGAAATCACTGTTGTCAACATGCAGAACAACATGCTATTCTACCAACATCACATACATGCGCAGGACTCACCAACAATTACAACAACAACACCTCACACAGACTTAATAGTCAACATCACAGTCAACATTACAGGGGTAGAAAAATTCTTTTTCTTACATTACATCAAGTCACACTTTTTTTTTTATAGACTTCACTCTCCGGAAATCTTAGGTTGTATATTGTGTAATTCTGTTTTCTGTGTGGTTTTTTTATCTTAACTTAGTACTAGTACTGTACCATGGATCTCTAAGAGGTTAGCTACGGAGTTTTTTTGTGCAGATTTTCGGTCATTTGGGAAAGTGGCGCTTTTTAACCTGGCGTCTCCCTTTCCTGATCTTTTTTTTGTGTTCCTGAGTAATGTCGGTACAAAAGTGCCACCTTGCTCTCTGACCGAGAATTGCAGGACATCTAACACTTTCACCAAATCTTAGCACAACGCCTCGATGGATTTGACTACAAAGATTACGTTTCACACTGTAATCTTTCAGTTCTAGTGTTTCAATATTTGATGATCCATTTTCAAAATGGACTGGTCTTACATCAGGTTATTTTCAGAGATTTAACTGAAACATTACCTTATTTGGTATAGAATACCTTATATGGTATGGAATACCTTATTTGGTAACATCATGGCTACCACGCATGAAAAAATGGCTGCCTTTGACCTTCAGTGTTGACCTTCGACCCTATATCATTGTGGATAGGCTAACACATCAGTGTTTCAAATATCAAATGACAATTAAATCCAAAAAGGGCTTTTTTGGTCATAATAACGAAGTACAAGGTTAACACATGTACAAAAATGGATAGGTATAGTTTAGAAACATTCCTCACACACACAACACACACAAGCATATAAGAAATTCATGATCATCAATTGTAATTACAGAAACAATAATATTGAAGACTGATAATGTACACTTCTGTTATACTGTACAGGGCTGCAAAAACGTAACTCCTATGGAATTCAGGACTGCTCAAAGCATTTCAAAGCAGTAGAATTTACACAATCATAAAACATTGTGTTATAAGAATCAACCTATTCTACTCAAGTCACCCCCAGAATCATAGTGGACTAGACCAGCTGGTGGACACTACACAGTAGGCGCTGGACAGAACCACATGTCCCGAGGGGTGGGCATTAGGTTTACATATTCCCTGCTGCCCACCCCCACAACCAAAGTGGACTGAACCAGCAGGTGGGCACTACACAGTAGGTGCTGGACAGATCCACTGAGCCTGAGGGGTTAGCATCTGCAATAAATTTTTGATGCTGCCCACCCCCACAACCAAAGTGGACAGGTCCAGCAGGTGGGCACTACACAGTAGGTGCTGGACAGAACCACTTGTCCGGAGGGGTGTTACATGTTGCCTGCGGCCAGGCCGGCGACTATTCTCTGCCAGAGCTCGCGCTTGCATGACTTGGAGCGCCGCAGGCTCTGCAGCAGCTCGTTGAACTGGACCATCCCGCCGGGCGTCATGCAGAACGCGCCGCGGGCCGTCCGCACGATCCCCACAAACTCGTCGTAGTCCGTCGGCGTGATGTGGAACAGCTTCTGGTGCAGACACTGGGGGAAATGGCAAGGAGTGTGCATTCTGTTAGACATCGTACATAGGCTGCGTTATACTAGGGCCACATCAATTTGATTTGTTGGTCATTGGATTGAGGAAAATCTTGAAAGAACAGTGCTCAAGATCAATCTTGTAACGTTTTTATATTTTGATGTGTTCGGTTCCATATTATATTTATACTTTTCATTCCTGCAAACTCTAACCCTTGCCTGTCTGTAGACACTGGAGGGGGAAAACAAGGATTGTATGTTCTGTTAGACATTGTATATTATAGCCTGCGTTATGCTAAGATCACTTTTTCAAACCGGGGCCTGGCCAGGTTTGCAGGAATGAAAAATCAATAATCAAGAATATAAACACTAACATCTGACCCTACACCCAAACAAGTACATGTACTGGTCACTTTACCTCTAATCTCTAACCCTTAACCATAACCTCTGACCTTTAACATAACCCCTGTCTTACCTGTCTGTACATCTGCAGACACTTTTGTACGATGGGGCTGAGGATGGGGGAGCGCAGGTTGTTTGCGACCTGTGAGTGGTTTGTTCGGGACATGAAGTGCGCGGCCTCGATGGCGATATCCTGCAGCACGAATGGGTTGAAGATGCCGTTGACTGCGCTGACGCAGAACTGCTGCAGGTACGTTTGGCCTGGGGAGGGGGGACGGAAAACAAAAAGTTTACTTGAGTGGACAGAAACAAAATCCCTAGTTAAACAAATTGGCAGCACTTCACCATATCTTAGGCACAGTTGATAGCATCTTAGTCTAAGGCAAAACTGCTGTAAGGATGTTTGTCCTGGGAAGGATGAAAACAAAAAAAGCTTTGCTTGAGGGGAAAGGACCAAAAATCCCTAGTCTATCATGGCAGTATGTCACAATAAAAGCCAAAGACAGTAAAAAAATCTGTTTTTTCTTTGTACCTACCTACATGTAGCTAACAAACAAAAACCGACAAGTAAACAAACAAACCCAGCTTCATGGCGAGCCCTAAGAGCCACTTGACGCTGTCCCCGTACGGCGGATTCCGGGCGAACTTGGTGTTGGGCCTGTCGTCGTGCGCCCGGCGAGCGAGCATCTCCATCGCCAGCATCCCGACACGGTACGCCGAGTGCAGGTAGTACGTCCCCTGGGCGTTGGGAGGGGGG